CTGTGGAGGAAACACATGACCACCTTGTCCTCACCCAAAGTTCATGAAATATGGACTGCCTAAATATTTAAGCCAGTTTAATTATATAAACAAGAGATGCAAATGGAACTAAATAGAAAAAACTCTTTTTGCATGTTACCATATGGCTATAATTAATACAAATGATTGGAATAAGATATATGACATACTGTGCCATTCTCTTCCTTTAACAGCAATTACGAAACAGAAGTAAAAGGTTTCGTATAAAAACATAGCTTATGTAGTTTTATTGTTGGTGGCCTTTAAAGATGTAAAATGCCTTTTTGCTTTTCCTAACAACAGCAACAGTGAAATGTGCAGAAAGAAAGGAAGTGGATGATCGTTAAACTGGCTTTAATAATCTGCACCTGAACAAAAAGACTAATCTTGCATGAAAGTTAAAGTTAATGCTCTATGGCAGGGATATCAAAGTCAAATACATCAGAGGGCCAAAAAAACAAATTTGCTACAAGCCGAGGGCCAGAATGGTTCAATGTTTATTGCTACATATTAAAATGATTGCCTGTCATGACATTTCCCCGCTGTGGGCCAAGTAAAGGATCTCTTAATATTAATCTTAATATAATTGATTCAAGACCTACAGTGAATGATCCAGTAGTATTTGTATGGCTCTGTCATGTTTCAACAGCTCACAGACAAAAACAAACTTTGTTCAAAGAGAAAACGAATATCCTGAACATTACATTTATAATTCAATATTTTCTTATACTAATACTAATCAAATATCATCCCGGGGGCCAAGATGATTCATTCACTGGCCGGATCTGGCCCCCAGGCCTTGACTTTGACACCAATGATTTACAGCCAGTTTTCAAGGCTTTACAACACGTACAGTTTAAAGGTTTACAAACCCCTGCCAGATTTTTTGTTTTGACATTTGTTTGACATTTTTCACAGAATACAAATAAGATTTTTCCACCCACAGTTAGTGATGGTGTGAAGCCATTTATTGCCAAGTTTCTTTTCAAATCTGTTTTTGTGCAATCACAAAATGAGTCAGTTGGTTTCTGTTGAAAATACGACAAATAGAAAAGTATCTGTATAACTTGAAAAATAGCCTTTTTTATAGAATGACCCCATTGTAGGTAAATTTATGAACACAACTGGAGATTGAGCCGTATTTTGATAAAAGAAAACAAAATATGTATGAATATTACATTCACTAACATGTAAGTAACACTGTGATTTTTTTGTGTGACAAACATTTACCACTAAACTCAAACACTACAAATCAGACTTTGACATTAAAAATATATAATTTTTACAATTGCAAAGATTTTTCCATGCAGCATAACACGCCAAACACAAAAAGTAAAGTTAGATTGGTGGAACATATGAAACTGTTTATTGGGAGGGGCTGTTATTTAATATGCAACACAAATATGGCACGACCTGGTTTAGAATTTTTAGTTTTGACGTCAACTCATAATTCTTCTGCCTCCTTCTAGAATGTCTGCAGAGGTTGTTTCCCATGATCACACAGACTCACATTACTGCTCCTCCTGAACCTGTCAGAGCTTGTTTCTTTGAATGCACCCAGTGTCCTGCATACAAGACAACAGCAGGCACCCCACCTAGCATTCCTCAGGGATTCAACAGGAGGTTTCTTCCCAGGATTTTTGTTTTACTCCATTTTGTACGGATACAGATGGATTCTTTGGAGTCAGTTCAATGTATTCTTGTATAGCCCTTATTCACAACCGTAGTTATCTCGGAAGACTTTACAAAATTGTCACCAACAAAGATAGAAGAATCAAACCGTTCAAACACAAGAAATGCAATGATATATTAATAATACATAGAGCCATTGGTCAAAATGAGGCGACCAATCTCCATTAATGTTGACGAGAGGTTTGTACATGTGTGTCTGAAGATTTGTAAATTTGTAAGTCATTTGTGTTTCTTGTGCAGGTTAATTCAATTCAAATAAATAAAATAAATACAATAAAAATACATAGAGCCATTGATCCATAAGGGGCAGACGACCCATCTCCATAAATGTTGATGAACAAATATAGATTATATGAATATAGATGATGACATTGAAGGTATTACTTTGAAGTTTGGATTACACCACAACAAAATTAATTGACTTAGAAGCATGACTAACCACTTCAAACTTGTTTTTATGTCCTGTCATTGTCTGCAAAGTAACAGGTCCTTTTTAATGTGGAGTAGAAAGTACAGATGTTTGAGTAAAAGTACTGTCCTTGCAGAGTTCCATTTAGCCCGAGATCTACGTAGACCTCCATCTAGAGGCACAGTTCCAATCCTAAAAAAATCCCCTCAAATCGAATCACCTTCACTTTTTATTAGTTTTGATGCACTGTTCACATAAACAAAAAAAAAACAAAGTAACAAAAAGACAGTTCTGATACTTGTGACTTCTGATCCCATTTAACAAAAATCAAAGCATTTGCCACTGAACTAGAGTACAACTATTTAAATCCTGACAATATTTTATCTGCAATATGTATTGCACAAAGCATTGTGCAAAATTAAGCTAGATACAGCTTTATATTGGGTGTGGATGTTATTCAATATGTTTATATTATTATGCTTATTACAGCTCTGCTTAAAAAAGTGACTATATGCAAAGAGGATGGGAGGACACAACTATCATGCATATTGTTAGAGTGAGAAAAAAATGATTTGTCACGAAAGATTATATTCTATTGTCTGGACAGCTTCTTTTTCATAAATTGAATGAGTTCCAAAAGGTACAGTACGCACACTGCAAACATTGACAATAAAATCTTGCATGTAAATGGAGAAGGCTGTTGTCTATGGGTTTAAACAGGAAATAATCTTATCATTACTTGCTACAGAGCAATAATTAAGAGTGAACTGGGTGTGCCATGAATCAGCCTGGTATTATAAAGCACTTTCGTGACCGGATAAACTTCATCTTGTCTGTCAGGTCTTGCAGCCAGAAAGTCTCCAATAAAAGTTCCAACGAAAAATACATATTACTAGTTTTGCCAGTATTCATTAAGGCCTCTATTGTGACTTCACTTCAAACATCCATTGTGCCCCAAATCCATCATTCCTTAACAAGCGTTGGGACATCACCTCTCACCGGGAACAGAGGGAAACAGTGGGCGGATTTGATGTGGGCGCTACACAAAACCGCCTCCTTTCTGTTTGCTGATACCACAGGGCCTTAAAGCTGAGCCTATGGGGAGGAGGAGGGTTGAGCCAGGGGGGGTCCCAGGACATCGGAGAGAGGTGCTGCTTCAGCCACTGTGCATTGACCCACAAAATTCAAGCCCAGCCCCCAGCGAAGTAGACTTTTGTTTTGTCGACCCTCGGCTGGAGACCTGAGAGAGGTTTTTTTCGAGGAGGGGGTTGCTGCATAGAAGGCCACATGCACTGGCTGTTTGCTACTTAGAGAGAGAGGTGCTTGTATTGTAATGAAAGAATTTGCATACTCGTGTGGAAGAGAGGGTGTTGACCTCTGGCACTTTGCAAGAAGGGGTGCACAACTGAAACCACTTTGCCCTGGGTCCCAGTTCCAGCATACTCGAGGGCGTAACACCTAAGCGTCGCACTCCAACCAGTCTCAAAGCTATTAAGAAAAAGTACTTAAGGTGGAAGTTTCCCTGCAGAAAGTGGCAAACACACTCCAAAACAAAGTGCGCTGCTTTGTTAAAAGTGAGAGGCCCCCTTAAAGCCCTGGTGCTAACTGTTCGTATAATGTTTAACAACAAACTTAAATTTCACTTATTTTCTCACATGTGTTTGCGATAGAAGCTTGTTGAATAATACATTTTTGTTGGATTACTGGCTATAAATCATAAATTTTCTTCTCAACATATGGAAATGTCTTTGATGGTATAAAACAACATTATTGGCCACTTTACAATCATTCTTTAATCTTCTATCTATCTAAAACATTTACAGATAGATCAGGTTTTAACCAAACATACCCTGCATATTCATATTTTTCCCTATGTAATTTTGATGCATTTCTGAGCCATAAAACACCTTTCAGCTCATGACGTTCTTTTGGCGTCAGGGTGAAAAAAACTTACTCAACCATTAAATTACTTGACAACATTTATTAGCGTCAGCCCTAATCATGACCACAGGAGTGTTCCAAAGCAAATAGAAGAAAACCATTGAAGCTTTAGTATCGATTATGTTGAGGTTATAGGTTTAGTCGTGGTCTAATCCGTGCTTGGACATGGATTACTTCTGATTTGGTCTTAATCTAACCTAAAACTGGTTAAATCCTGTTTTTTTCCCAAGCGTTCTACTGATTAGCGCTTGCTTGGAGAGGTTGATGTACTCCTGATACTACAAATATACTTGTTAAGGATAGAGGTTTTATAGACATGGATGAAACTCTGTAATTGAATTTTTAATGTGATACTAGACTAAACAGACTCTGCACATGCAAAGTGAGATAAATCAAGCCTCTTTTGTTATATTGACAATTGTGTTGAAAGTGATTTTGACAGCTTCTAAAAAACACAATAAAACATGTAAGAAAATCAGAATATTTAGAATATTTATGGACTGTAAGTCATAAACATCAACATTATAACAAAGCTTGAAATATGTCACCAGTGAAGAGTCTATATCATATATTGGTTTGTTAAATTACAGAAATAACTAATCTATTGAGTATATTTTAATTTCCCAAGTTTCACCTGTTTATTGTTAAAAATTCATACTGCAAAAGGAAAATTCTAGAAAAAACTCAACGCTTACAATTTACCCTGCTTTACAGAATGCCTTGTGAAACATCGACTTATTTTGGCGACATCACAGCAGAACAATTTTTCACGTTAACTCATTAGTATTTATTTGTCGCCCGTTAAAGTGAGGTGACATTTGGAGGTCAGGGAGCCATCAATAAAACCCACACTTAACTTGTTGGTCCATTTTCCCCAACGGCATCCTTCATCCCATCCTCTTGTGTGATTAATGTGCATGTGGTACCGTTAGACAGCACAATGTCGTCAGCTTTGGTTCAGGTTTGGTGGGGTCAGGGTTTTGGGGGTTTCGGGGGAGGTGGAGGTCCCTAGTTTTAGATGCCGAGGGGGCTCTTCTCTTTCCAAGTGCACGCAACTCGCTTCAAGACCATATTTGACTCGGGGATTCCTCCAGATAAGAGTTGCTAGGTGATGCCATTGTCTGCCCATCATTGTGGCTGACATATTCATAGCCACATGCAAAAGATCTTTTATTGGGGGTGTCTCATTAGCAGTCATATATTCGCACCGCAACACCCCCCCACTTGACCCCTCCTTTACCAGTCGTGGGAAAGACAAGACGAGGGGTGACTGGCGCGATATTTGGACATTGGACACGCACAAGAAGTTTTACCAACAACGCTGAATCATAATTAGATTTTAGCCTCTAATAAGATGATGTTAAGAACCACTGCAGTCAATTTAGGATGCAGTATTTCATTTATGTGTTGAACAAACTCAAAGTAACTTTCTGCAGGTCTAATAACATGTGTCTACACCAGAGGTCTCCTAATGGCATTACTGTGCCCTTTAATGCAATTGTTTGGACAAAAAGACCATTTTCATGAACTTGTCAGTTCTTACACTCATTGTTTCATTTTTTATGGTTAAAGATTCCATTCACAGCTTTATTTCATTTTTTTGGGTGTGATGTGTTTGGAAATAGTAAAGAATTTGATCATTTGTGGTTAGAACTTGCCGAGCAGTCAAGCTGACACCTTTTTTCTCCATGATGCTGGTTCTGGACCGATCCTGGACTGGTTCTGGATCGGTCCTTGACTGGTTTCCTCTTGTATTCAAAGACAACTGTGTGCATATTGGCATCAGAGGATGGTTTTATTAAGGTTTTACTATGGAACCACACATACCCCAAATAAGATGGCCACTGCAGAAATGTGCATTCTTGCTGGTGTCTTTGGTCCAATCCTCCTGGTTGAAGATAGACAGCTTTTATTGCTTCTGTTGCTCAGAGATGGCAGAGCTTCCTTTTTTATCCAGTAAAGCGTCCTTATTCAGTATTTGCGGTTCAAAAGTCCAGGTAGCTACGTACCTGGACTTTTGAACGGTAAGAGTATCTTCAAATGATCCTCAAATTGACTCACTGTACAAAAAGTACAGTGATAAGTACAAAATTTTATAATAGGATTAAGACCGCAAAGATGTTGTCTGGTTTATTCATTCCACATTTTATTCAAAAGACTCTTTATGTTGAGATATTGGAAAAATGCATTATTTTTTATTCAAAAGTTAAGTACCCCAGCTTTAATTTATTTCTGTGCTGAAGGCTGAATAACCTACACAGTGGCGGCATCCATTTCACTACTGTTCTGAATTTTATCACATCATAATTCATCTTAAATTTCATCATCACCCATATCATAACTATTGCATTGTCGCGTCTATTTAAACAGCGCAGTTGTCTCCATCTTTTTGTCAATGGAACAGGTGCGGTCGCCTGGTTTAGGCCCCTCCTCCTGATGTCCAAACTTGGAGTCTTTCCGCATTCCTCCAGCTGTGGGGGGCGGAGCTATGACGCCACCTGTTCCTGAATGGAGCAGCGCACGCGCTCCGGCAGCAGTTCACACTCCACTATTTGGCAAAGAGAGAGGAGCCTGGCGAAGCAGCTGGATTAAAGCCAGGAACCCGGAGCACGACTTTTGCCAAGGAAAAGTTGTGGAAGATGGAGCTCCGCGCGGTTAAATTGTTTTTGTTTGTTTGTTTTTGCCAAGTTTTTTCAAGTTTCCAGTCAAAAGAACGTAAGTAAAGCTTATGAATATGTTTTCGTGGCTCGTGCCTTTTACGTAGCATTTTTACGCACGGCAAACGCAGGGATATGAATTAACTATAACATTTTAATTCTATACTTTGATTTACTTGACGCAATGATTTTTTTTTTCTCCATCAATGCCTTGTATTATTCGATCTGTTATATAGATCTACTTTATGTGTCAGTTTTACGCGTTCAAAATGTTCACCTGTGCGCCTCCATTCTTGTCTTTCCTCTTCCCCGGATGGTTTGCTTTTATTGAGCTGAGACTTTTGTGTGATGTTGGGTTCAAGTACTTTTCTGGTCACGGTAACTTTACTCCCACGCCTATACGTAGATTATTGCTGCTGTATCCCTTCAGATGGAGGACACGGCGAATGAAGTTTTGAATGCGCCTTGACATGGTTGATTAGTCCGTCAAAGGCTGGCATGTGCCCCCTATAAAGCACCTGCCCTCCGGGATCACACTGGATTATTTAATTGTAGGCATGTTTATCTGCAATTATATATGGCTTCAACGCGTTCCAGCAACAAAGAATGGATTATAGAGCAAGTCATCCCAGTTGGGAGTGATTGGCATTCTCAATGGGAGAGAATAATGGGCTACTTTGCATTAACTTTCATTCAATTTACAGTAGGGTTTAAATCAATGCGAAATAATAGGGACTAGGAAAGTCTCTATTACTGTGTTGTATCAGAAGAAAGTAAACGTATTTTTGTATAGCCCTAAATCACAACTGTAGTTATCCCGGTTTTAAGAGTCATCAAAGATCAGAATCAAACAGATCAAACACAAGAAGCGCAATGATACAATAAAAAACCCCATTGGTCCATAAGGGGCAGATGACCAATTTCCATAAATGTCATATAAATGTGAAATATTATAACTCATTAAATATATTTTTGAAGCACTCAAAATAACATATTTTCTATGAGCTGTTGGCAAATCCACAAACAATGAATTTAGTTATTGGTCAAAAAAGACGAACAGATTAATTCACAGGAAAATCAAGGTCACCAAAGGAATCTCGTATCTGACCATAGGAACATACATCCATGAGTTTGTGTGGAATTATGATAAAGAAAAACTGCTCTCTTGTGTTCAAAAGAATGTGTGGGAAAAATGAGTGTTATCTCCTTGTTTATTTTTGCATATCATGTGTTTTTGTGCTTTGTCATTCCAGAAGTATTGCTGGATATGAGGGCTTCGGGAGGTGAGCTGGGATGGCTGACGTTGCCACTCGAGAACGGAGTGAGTATTTATACCTCTACAGGAATTTTTAAGAGTTCAGGTTAAGGCTAGATTTTTCAAAGGAACAACGAACCAATAGGAACCCAGGAGGAGCACATACTTGTCGTGAGAATTTGGTTTGGTCACAATGCTACGTCGCACCATTGAAACTGCTTTCTGGAAGTGAAGGAATGAGTGGCATCTATGAGGTTTGGCTGGGCTGAGCTCGTCTTGTTTGAACGCAAGCCTTTCATAAAGTAATTATGAATGCAGTAAAAGTGTCATGGCTCAAGCGCGCATGTAAATTTACAATGGCAGCAAAGCGGATGCAACAAATACCAGACAATTGTTTATGTTTTTATTCAAACCACTGTTCCTCTATGTGGGAATTGTGATCTTCCTTAATTCGGGCGTCCAAAGAAGTACAGTAAATTTCCTGTCAAACATCCCTCTATCTATAGTTCAGTGGCTTTCGCTAAAATAAGTAACAGGACATGGCCACTTCCACCGTGTAAATTGCAGTTATGGTCGAGTCCCAAAGATCTAAAGACTGCAATTTCTCTTAATAATCTGATATACAGTAGCTTAATAACATATTTATTATGTTATGAACTGTTAAATACTTATATATGTTTTATGGCTATAGATAACACGACAGTAGAGATGAAAATGTTGTAATATTGACAAACAGGACTAAGCCAGGCACAGATTTTGACTCCTTCCTGTAAAACGAAACTCAAAATGATAAAAATAGGGCTGTTCAAAATTCTTTTGATAAATCTTTTCACCAAAACTGAAACAATTTCACACAAGAACATCTTCATAGATACTAGATGTTGGATTGGAAGTACTTTTAAAAAACATTATTTAAAAAACATCTTTCTCTGTCTGAATCATAAAATATCTTTTGGTCCAGGAATAATTCAAAAAACAGATTATTTAGCTCTAAACAAGTTGAAAACTATTTTAATAGTGCATTAGCTGTGATTAATTCTTTTTGTTACAGCCTTAAATCAAAATTCACCAGGGTTTGCATTCTAATTCAGTTTTGAAAATCAATTCATATACAATATCAAGCACTTTACCACTGACTTAAAGATGCCATTTAGTTGGATAAGCTTATTTATTTGGTAAACGACGTGTTCACTGAAGCTAAAACGATTGGAAAACCAAATGTGCTGTAAAGTCGTATAACTTTTCCCAGTAGTAGTGTGTGCTGACATGTGAGGTGTAAAGTGGAGGTTTTTAATCTTGCTCCTCGTCATTGCTTCCCCCTCTTAAAGCAGCCTTAATTTGGCCCTATTGCTTCTCTGTTCCTTTGCTGTCTGCGTACAAACCCCATTAAACAGCCATAAGTGTTGGCTGACTCGCTGCGGTTTTAGCGTTAGCTGGATTTGCGTCGGCCTCACGCACGTTTGGCCTTTGTGTGTGTCAGTGGAAACTCAAGCCACACACGAAGCACATATGTCCGAGGGATTGCTTTAATGTGGGGAAAATGCCAAGTCAGTTTCCCCTACGACTGAAGTGTCACCAGCTCCATCATGTATTTGGGTTTCTATCAGGACCACAATTACTGATTTAGGTGCAAAAGCTGACTGCGTAGACTTTAAATGTGGGGAGAAAATGAATAACTGAACAACTCCGTTACATTGGCCTGTCACAGTTTAATTGCCTATGTTTTTAGGTTCATGAATTATTATGTGAATTTTCTTGCTGAAATTGTACGTTTTTCATGGAACTCACGCTTTTTATTGTTATAGACTAGCCTTTTAAGTGATTCAAAAACTTTGCTGGAATTTTTCTGTTGAATGTTATAGCTGAAATACTATACTTTATTGTTATAAGGATTTTCAACAATCATTTATTTACATATAAAATCTACGTCTGAGGATCCAAAGCTTGGCAAGGTCTGTATTAACGTGGACAAGTCAGCCCAAAACAGGACTTAAAAGCAACCGCAAGTTTCATTAGAGCTTGGTTAAAACGTATGGACTCACTGAAATCAGAGTCTAGACATTAAATGCCACAGGAAGACCCCATGTGCCCCATATTGGAGACCGCAGCAGACCTCTCACTCAGCATGTTTTAGGGCTCCTCTGTGGTTACAAGCCTGGTTTAGAAAGAACAAAGTATCCAGAGGCCTGCAATTATAAAGTCCTGTCATTGACGTTTGAACTTTGGAAAACTAATCTCTTATGTCTTCCTGTCTCTTTCTTGCAGTGGGAAATAGTCCAAACAGTTGTCAATGGGTCACTACTTTATACCTACAGCGTTTGCAATATAGAGTCAACTGAACAAGACAATTGGTTGCGCACCACTTTCATCCAGAGGCGACCCGGGACGACTCGCGTGTCCGTCGAACTCCGATTCGTGGTGCGAGACTGCAATACCTTCGGAGGCGCGTCGGTCTCCTGCAAAGAAACCTTCAATCTATTCATTTCCGAAGCCGACGCAGACGTGGGCACGAACTTACGCAAGGGACAGTTCCGCAAAGTGGCCACAATCGCTCCGGACGAGATCACGAGGGGGAAAGTCCTCAAAGTCAACACCGAGACCAGAACCATCGGCCCGCTGTCGAGTAAGGGCTTCTACCTCGCCTTCCAGGACATGGGCGCATGCGTGGCCCTGCTGTCAGTGAGGGTCTACTACAAAACCTGCCCCTCCACCGTGCGAAGCCTGGCCCAGTTCCCAGAGACCGTGGCGGACTCGCTGAGGGAGGTGGAGGGCTCGTGTGTGGAGAAGGCAGTCAGCACAGCCACGCCGAAGATCTACTGCACCACGGAGGGAGAGTGGGTGGTTCCAGTGGGACAGTGCCAGTGCTTACCGGGCTACGAGACGACAGGGGACTCCTGCCAAGGTAAGCAACATCACCGACAATTAGGTTTGTTACCATGTGAGTGAATGAAACGGAGGCATGTGCTGTGAGTAAATGTCTATATTAAGAAATGTTTGGATTGGGTTTTAGATGTGGTGAGGGCAAAGCTTGACTTAAATGTACTGGCTTCACATTGTTACTGAAATTGTGGCTAAAAACACACACAATAGTTGCCCATCTTCATTTTGCTGTTTTTGCTTTGGTTGGAACATTCCAGGGTATGACATTCAATCGAACAATCTTGTACTTATTTAATTTTATTTCTTGATGTGGAAAGACTATATCCACTTCTGCGCAATGAGAATAAGAAGCACATAAGAAGAAAAAATGATGCTTGGTTTGTCTCCATGCTGTCAGATAATGCAACATTGTGCACCATTCCAGGCTAGGGATTTTCAAACTTTGCTCTTGAAAGTGCCGCATAAGGAAATGCCATATCTTATCAGGAGGACTACACCCTTTCTGATACTGATTGGGCGTTCGACCAAAAAAAAGACAAAAACGTGTACAATAAATAACTCTACTTTTAAGATACACCATCTGAGAATGATGGGGCTCCCTTTTTCTCATGGTAAAAATATACACACACTTTTAATTTTCTTCATCTTTAGACAATTAACTTTTTCTGGAGTTACCCATGACCATTGACAGTTCCTTGTTTTTTTTCCCATTTAAAAAAATTCTCTCATTACTGACTCATTCTTATATCTATTTTTGATGATTCAGGGTTGGGTCATTGTCCACAGGCAGGATATGCACAATTTAGGTATAAACTTACTCTTGCTTCTTGTGTTTCTATCCACACCCTCCCTCTGCAAACTTAAGCATACTGTGAGAAAATGTCACTCTAAATGTCACCACAACACTTGATATTGTATTTAAAATGGGTCGAGTTATATATTACATTATTAAGTATGAGTCAGGGAGGAAACGGGAGAGTCTGTTTGTTTTGTGTGAAGGAGACAGAAGGATTGTTGCTATATAATAAACGCTGTATTCAGTTGTACAGTCAGTCGCTGTCACTTATACCTGTTGCTCAAGCGCTCATTCTTTCCTTCGCTTTTTCTCAGGGCTTAGGAATGGGGCTGGGCTGTGGCTAAGCTAACAATACAGGTTTATAGCCTGAAGACTGCTACCACACAAAACACAGAAGAATAGCTCATATATTTACAGAAAGAGGCTCAATTTCCTCATAATTTGAAATGTCTCCACTATTTTACATTTCATTTTTGAGAAGTGCTATGAGCTGACTTTTGTTGAATACACTCTTAATAAGTTTAATCTTATAATTGCAAATCATTATAGTCATGACTCACGGTGTAACAAGCAGGATTAAGTGATTTTCATCCATGCTTGAGCTACTAATGTTTTAAAGAGGCCAAGTTGTAGTGATTTCAAAGTGTGTGTGACAGTACAAAAAACATTTAAGTTCAACCTCAGTGTTTCTGTCAGAGACGGGTAATATTAAAGGCAACATGAAGTGCATTCTCCCATTTTCACCATTCACCACCACCATTTTACCAGCAGTACATGAACTATTCTTTGTTCAATTATTTATTTTTTCTTCTTCAAAATGAATAGAGCATCTGCGTTGGACATACCCTAATGTCCTTGTTCCTGGTGCATTTGCAATTCTTATTAACTATTATATTGACGGTTGAAAATGTATAAACCTTGTATAAATCATTATGGCTTTGACATCTGTCCTCATCAAATTAGAATTTGAGTTAGTATTCAAACTATCTTTTTGAGACTTGAGATTACCAAAGGAATTCTACAAATGTGTCTATTCATGTTATAGCCCAAACTGAACATTTTATAAATGCAAAAACTTCAGGAATGTCGCGTTCTGCCTCAGAGAAGAGTTTTGTAGTGGATTTTAAATGTCAGCGCAGGGTAGACATCTGTGGTCTGTGACGAGCTCCTACTGTTTGTGTGGAAGTTTGGCCTTTTCTTTGGCGCTGGCGGGTGTGGTGTGTTTGAGTGTCTGTAGGAAATGTGGGAGGAAAGAGAGGAAGGAGGTGGGAGGGAGGGCGCACAGCGGGGATTTCTGAAAGGCATTCCTTCACCCTGGCGTCACCTACACATTACTGATTGACCACGAAGCCACTGCAACAAAAAAATGAAAAAGAATTGATTGTCATTCTCGGAGTGAAATTAGATCACCTACTCGGTTTTATCAAGTTTTGAATTGTATATAGTCACCTTATTTCTTTCTTGATTTCTAATTGTTGTAAGATAAATGATCGTGGTTTTAAGAATGGCAGTTATTAAAGGGGAAGTTTATTTACCGTGCAGGACCCGGGGACATGAACCATCAACACGCTGTAATATTGTCTATTCAAGTCAAGTCTCCGTTGTTTGGGAGTCGCCCATTAAAATAATGATGGCATTACGTAGACCTGATAACAAGGAATGCGTAGGCAGGATGCGTCCTTGGTCTATTTTTCCATCAATTATTAAATTTTTTGGATTTGAAGTAATGCTCTTGCACAACTGGCAGCTCATTAATGAAGACAAATGCAAGACCCCCAAAATGTTTATGGTGCCCAGCAATATAATACAGACAATAAAAAGTCAAAATGGTTAAGTGCTTTTATGTATTGAAAAGCTGTCTCACTCTCATCTCTATCTGCCAATGAAACTAGCATAGAATGTCTTGTTTTACTTAAAATTGGAAGAAAACAAGAAATTCACATGTGAAATAATCCTGAAAAATAATACCCTATTTACAATTTTTCCTTTCGTCTGACTGTTAAACTATCTATTGGTTTCAGATTGTTGCAATTATCAATTTAAGTATCAATTTAAGACTACTCAAATCCTCTAAGTGGGGAAACTCCGTTGAGGCTGCCAGCGTGAATAGCTTACCTGTGCGTCGTGTATTTGTTGGGCTGCGTTTCCATGGAGACGTAGACCGCAGATTACAGGGAAGCCGAGGTGACGCCCTCTGAGGTTAGACCGAGTCAGGACTGCGGTTTACGATGGTCCGAGTCACCTTGAAGCCAACGCTCTCTGGAATTCACACGGCTCGGAAAGAGGAGGGGATCCATCATTGAGATAATGACAGACTGGATCCTTTCAAAGCCGAGGGTTACCTGAAATGGTCGTGTGTATTAGTCAGAGAGCTCCTTATGGTACAGACATAAATTCAACTCTTATTTTAAAGTCCTTTGGGTATTTGGAGTATTGACTTATAATAAAGAAGACTTTATTAATATCTTCATACATTTTCACTTCATACAACATAGATTCTTGGTTGTCAGGAAGTTTTATAGTGTAAATAGATGCGCCAAGACTTTTTCAAAAACTTGGGTCTTCCACATGGAGCAAGGTTATCCTGCCATCTCACCTTTTACAACACAAGTAATATAATTCAAACTACTATCATAAAGATTGTAAATGCTGATTATAGCCACATTTGTCTTGACCTCATTAACACCATGAATGGACAACTTCCTCTTTCTTTATTGACCTTTTTGTGTTTAAGCTCAGAAGCAAATGTAGCTGCAGTGGTAGAATTGACACTTTGTCTTTGTCTTGTTAATAGCCGACAGAATGACAAACTTTTACCCAAATTAAATGTAACTATATACAATTATTACACTATTGTATGTACTACATTTGACACAGGTGAGCTACAGCACTAGTTGCATAATGTCCAACATTCACCGGGACTATAGGGCTCAGTGATAAATATTCCCTCATATTGTTAATGTCTGTTTTTTAGTATTCATTGACAAAAAATTAGAACTATAAAAAATACAATACAATTGATCCTGTTTTATTAACTTGATTGTGTCATAAATCTGCTGACACTTTCTCATTTGGGTTTTGTAAGAAGTTTTAATTTTGTTCATAAAATACTGGAAATTCCCATACATTCCTATCAGGTAGAATAAGAAACTGAAAATACTTTTTACATTTACTAGACATGAGTGACGTTTTAAGGGGAGTGTTTTTATGATGTCTGTTGTAACTCAAGTCCAGCAAATGGCCTGAACACAGTGTGGAAAAGCCTTGTTCTTGCTGTTTGTACGGCTACCTCATTCCAACGTCACATTTACAAGGGGAGAGTGTGTCATGTGAGAGGCCCCAGACTGATCCTGGACTCCCCGGAAAAGTGGTGCATCTGTTGTGGGAAAAGGAAGTGGGTGCGTTTGGGAGGAATGCTGATTGACACAAATAAGCAGGTTGTTCATAAAGTCACATTCATAGACCGTTAAAGCAGAGAAGGGAGAAGGGAGGATCAGGACTGGGCAATCCTGACAAAATGCGTGATATTGAGAAAAAAACTAGACTTATTAATAATTTTCAACATTTAGTTTCTTTTTTCCAGCAATAACTTTTTGACAAATCTCAATTAAAAAGAAAATCATGCTTAGTTTCTTAAATTCTCCAGACCTCATAAGCAAAAATAGGCACATCGATAATACTTACCGGTATTGATTCAAAGTAATATCAAGCTTGACAATTTTCCATGTTTTGCTGTTTTAAATGTCACATGTGTTGGAGGATTTAAATATGAGCTGTTAAAGTTGTACAAGAACAGATTTGAAAACTGTTGTTAGAGGATGTTTCTAGGGCTTGAATCAATATCAAGTGTTTTGCTTAAAGTTACATTTAGATGTTTGATGAATTTAGTGAATACTAAAATGTTGGTCCTTGAAGTTCCACATTTGCTGTTGTCCCATAAAATGAGATTCCATTGACTGATTAATCACAAACTGACAGCTCTCTATATATTTTTACTACTACAGCTTTTGCCTTTTGCTGATGGAGCTCTCATAAACCGATTCATGATTCACCGCAGGTCTGTGATCCCGCGGCTCTGGGCGGGGGAGACTCGGCGCGACAGTTGGCGTACATGGTTAGGTTCGTGGCTGCTTAGTTAGGTGTGGAGTGTAATTTAGTCAAGAGGATTAGTGGAGCAACAGGACAGCTGTTGGCCAATGACATGCCCCGATTCAGATCTCCCCGGTCTTTCATCCGCTGGTTAACACACGCAACCGGCTCCCTAATCCGTGTTCCCACTCGTTAGAACAATGGATCCCAAACGGATTCAATTAACAGATGCATCGGAGCGGAACTTAAGTCCTTTTCACATGTGTCCCGCTGTCAATGGGGGGTTAAGGAGAGAAAAAGGGACACTATTTTGATGCAACAAGTGAGTAAGTTGATTGAATTAAAACTGGCCTTGTTGTAAAGTAAAGGGAAGAGGACAAAGACTGAAGCATGCATATTTTGCAAATGAATTGTTATGGTGACTTTAAATGTAATTGACTAGAATAAGATGGGTTACTGTTATGCTTAAGCCATTGTGAAATAGCAAAGTCCTCTCAGATTACTGCTGTTGTGTTTTTAGGGCTATACAAAAAGATACATTTATATTAATATTGAAAACCAACCATCCCATAAAGTACTAACAATGCACTCGTGTAGTAAAGCTGTTTTTTTTTTTTTTTGGTCTTTTGGAAGGAGTTATTTGTTTGTGATGTAGAACAAGTCATTGGTTTGAAGACGTTTTGACTATTTGCCAAACCTGTTTTGTCTTGAACCAACCCCAGCTATGGATACGTTAATGCAGTCTGTTTCAATCACTCATAGAAATAAAGAAGCATGTTTTTCCTCTGGTTTGCATATTCATAGTAACAGTAGGATTTTTGCACCATGTTTATATTTGTTCATCAGTGCACACAAGCCTCCATTGGACCCTGTGAATGGCCCAAAACATTTACGGCACCACTCAGTCCAATCTGTGCCGACAATACATGAAAAGACTTTGCAGCTTCTTTGGTTCGTGACAGAAGTCCTGCTGCTGCTTGAGCCCCGAGATAAAATGAAAAAAGCGGGCCTCCTTTTATTATGCGAAAAGGACCTGCACCTCCAGCACCACCCCCCCCTGTCCCGTCCCAGATGCTCCCCAGAGAGAGCTTCTTGTGTGTTGGGACTTGCACACTGGTCGCACCCCCCTCCTGCCAAGTCGCTTTCTATTCATCCTCCTTCTCATCCACATCCAACCTGCTCCCGCTGCAGACTGCTTTGAGAGCTAAGGTCGCGTCTGCCTTTGTGGAAAGACGTAACTCGAGCACCACGACTCAGCGCTCGTATTTTCTCGGGCCACCAGCAAAGGGGCCACAGGGAAAGGGTGCTCCCCGGAGAGACGCAAGAATTTTTTGTTTAAAAAGTTGTTGAGTTGGGGGAAAAATGTGCATTAATTTCAATTTTTAAAAAAAAACTTTAACAGTTTTATGAATAGACAATTGAGCGAATAATTATTTTTGTTAATGGATCTTGGTTTGATGGATTGAAATTAGCTTGTTTCAAAAAAGTCTGCTTCCTTTTTATGCATTTGGCATTTGTAAACGTACAGTGGCAGGCTTAGCAATTGCAAATGAGAGAATTTGAATTAGAATTAGCATAATCTGGTATTCCAGGCGGGTAAAGCTGGGATAACCAACTTTTTCTTTTCATTAAAAATATATGTTTTTGGTCCCAACAGAGTCATATGAACAAGCAACTACTGCCTTCAACTTAGAAAACAGTTTATCGTTTGCACATTTTATAAGATATTTGAAGGAGCCTCACGAGCAGGCCCGTCCCAAGGGGGGTGCGAGGCCCTGTGCGAACTCGAAACGCGAGGCCCTGCCCTGACACTTTTTTCCCAGATCTGAGGAAAGTTTTTCCTGTTATAATCTTTGACATGAATTCAGCACCACCTCGCGCGGTGCTTGACGAGATCAGCACGCGTGTAACCGAGTGTCTTCGCTCCTATGCAGCGTTTGGCGCGCGCACGTACACACGCACACACACTCTACGTGCAATATTGGTCGCGGTCTTTTTAGCTGACATGTCTCTTTCGTCCTGTGGCAAAATGGCAGAGCAACTCAAAAGATTGAACCAAAAGGAGTCTTTTTCTTCTAATAGTTAGATTTGGGCAAAATGCGCCAAAATGGCTATGAGGCGGAGTCAATATTATTATTTTCTCATCAAATAACGTTTTTGCCATGCCTCCACACACTCTGACAACATACACTCCTCCTCCTCCACACTGACAACAACAAAATACTCTTCACCTCCTCCTCCACACACTCTGACCACAACAAAAACACTCCAGCTAGCTAAAGCTAGACATACAGTGTGTTTGCTAATGCTTTTAAAAATATGTTTTTGATGTGGATATTCGGACTAAACATTGGCAATAGCAGCGCTCACACACCTGTCACACCGCTGATCCTCCTCCTCCTCCTCTGCTCACACAAAGGGGTCTGCTCCTCTGCTCACACCTGTATCACTGCTCCTCCTCCTCCTCCTCCTCCTCCTCCTCCTCCTCTGCTCACACAAAGGGGTCTGCTCCTCTGCTCACACTTGTCTCACTGCTCCTCCTCCGCGAGTATCCATCTCTCCTACACTGCGATCATTCCCGTTACTTTCTTTGTATCTCACTCAGACACTGCTAAAGTTATCTGACAGTTTTTTCGGAGGACCCGTTGCATACATAGCTGCCCGCGCGCCTGCCTGTTTACAAATCGCTTTTGGTGAAAATTTGACTTTACTTGTAAAAATGTTCTTTTGATCAAACGAAATCAAAGAGGTCCAGAGAAAGGGGTTTAGGGTTCCAAATTTGGAGTGCAGTCTGCCCTTTGGGGACCCTTGAACTAGTGTATTTATAAAATAAAATAAAAGGAAGGAAGATTGCGAGGCCCCTGTGTGGTGCGAGGCCCTGTGCGACGGCACAGGTCGCACAGCCCTTAGGACGGGCCTGCTCACGAGTCACTATTTGACGCTTTGGGCTGAGAGCTGATTGGATGAGTGAGGGAGCCACTTTCTTTTTGACTTTTTTTGTTTTGCCTCAACTTTCGATCAGCTTTTTCAAAAAATAAATGAATGTGGAAATTTGTGATGGAGCAAACATGCTGGAACTACATGCATGGATTTAACTTAATCAAATTTTATCTTTTATCTTTCTCAGTTTGAAAGTTGGGTACCCCATCTTTAATTATTTGGTTATTCATAGCAGCACTTTTTATTTTATGTAATATTACTCTTTTTTTTCTTTTTTTTTGACCAAAAATGCAATAACATCCAGAGCAAAGGCTCATCGCCCCATTCTTTGTTCAGAGTACAGTGGTTCGTGGCTCTGTATTTCCGTTCTAACACTAAGAACAATTCCTATGTCCATCTTTTCCACTTCCTGGTGCTTTAGTCTTTTAACTCTTGGCCTTGAGAGCTGCAAATGTGCGACTGGTGTCAGAGGCGAGGGCGAGGAAGGAAGATCCAGAGGAAACGTGAGGCGCGTTTGGATCTCACTCCATAGTTTCTGTCCAACGTTCAACTTTCACGCATGTTCATTAACCCCCCATGCCCTGGAAAGCCGAGAGTTTTATCAGTTTTCCGAAACGCACCACCGAACACAGCGCTATTTCCTTTTAAACGAACACAAATATTATCTTTCAGAGCGGAGTTATCGCTTCACCTGCTGGATTTAGTGCTATCCGGTTGACTGGGGCAAACCTTAAGAGCTTTAGGTCTTCAGGCTTCGGCCGGACAGGCAAGTGCAGGCACATTGTCAGGGAAATCCCTCTCATTCCTCGGCATACAAAGACTCTGTGATCATAAAGGCCTTAAAACAAGAGCTTCCTGTCAGGTGGAACGGCCTTGGATCAGACGGGCGACAGTCTTTGCTTTTTGATGAGTCACTCTTCCGGCATTTGTGCGTCTCAAACTTGTCGTCGGAAGAATTAAGAGATTAGCTTTGTTACAGTGTGCTAACCCGGCCACAACTGCTTCCACAAATATTGTCTATGCAAAGATGTGAAGACTTGAATTCATGATTTTGTTGTAATCTCAGTAGTTTGGAGTGTTAATTTTTTTTTCCTTTGTGATATGGATAGTTGTACATGAGATGCTTAGTGCAAGAATTATTCTAGAATGGAATAAGAAAAAAGGGCATTCAAAGTAAATGTACTGTCTACATATATAAAGTTATGATTTTGATTGAGTATTTGGATTAAAGCTCATCTGTTGTCAAAACCACTAAATCTATATTCATAACCTAATTCAAGTACCTCTCAAGCATACTACTTCCTTCCTTATTGTTAAATCATTATTCTTACTTGGACAGCAACCAATACTACTATGAGTATAATAACTACTACTACTATGGCTATGACATTGATGAATGACATTATGTATATACATTTTTTTATTTGATCTGGGAAATTCCAATTTCACTTCACAGGAACTTTACATTAGCTATGGATTGTGCTTTTGGGGAAAACTAAGAAAACTATACAATGCCCGAAGCAGTTGTCAATCCCTAATGTACTAATTTACTATTCGGCCGTTGTCCTGGTTCTGTGTTTTGTCTTGATCTTGATTATTTTGATCCACTTTTAGTCAGAGTTAAGTCTCAAGTGTGTCTGTGTAAATCTGAAACTACCCTTGAAGATAAGATTTTGATAAGAATGATACTAAAAACCTCTTAATTTTCTTTTACAGCTTGCAAACCGGGCTACTTCAAACCCGCTCTGGGGAACGACCTGTGCCGAGTGTGTCCGGACAACACCAGGCCCTCTGACACTGGTGCGACTCAGTGTGAATGTGAAGATGGATATTTCCGCTCAGCGTCCGACTCCCCCACTGCCGCCTGCTCTGGTAAAGACACACTTCTGAAATCAATTAACAAGTTAAAATGTAACTCCTACCTTTTGTGTTGTACATCTGCTCAATTTGTGCGCCTCTTTAGTAGATACGACGTGACAGTTTAGTGCCTGTATACCCTGATATAGTCGCCTTAATTTATGATGATTTTCTCCCATTATCCATGTAACCATATTTGCACTTTTTTATAGTTAAAGTTGTAGTCAAGCAAGCTTTTTCTTGTCTTGGTTTAGTCTTTTCAACTTTTCTCTGTTTTATACAAAAAGCCCATAGTCCAAAAGGCCTAAAGGGGGGACTCCTGTCACAATGAATATTCTATTTAGTTCTACCTAAATTTAGCTTTGTCGTCAAGCTCTAATTCTGACATGAATTTACGACTGCTAATTAACCCGTCGAACATTAACTTTCTCTCCACACACATACATCTGCTTGACTCCTGTGCCTCTTCCCTGGCCTCCTCAGCTCCTCCCAGTGCCCCCCGCGACCTCATCTCCACCACGCTGTCCGCTGAGGGCAAACTGCAGCTGTCCTGGGACCCCCCTCTGGTGACAGGGGGCCGGGCAGACCTCACCTACAGCGTGGGGTGCGAGCTCTGCGATGTCAGCTCCTGCGCCGCCTGCAGCGACAAGATCCGGTTCGACCCCTCCCCCTCGGAGCTCCGTGACACGGTGGTGATAGTGGCCGACTTGGATTCTCACCTGAACTACACGTTCAGCGTAGAGGCACACAGCGGAGTGTCCCAGTTCAGCTCGCAGAGGCCCGTCGCCGCCATCACAACAGCCTTGGATTATTTAGGTAAGAAATACAACTTAAAAATTTAAAAAATGATTTAAAAAAAAAAAAACATAAAAATCAACAAAATGTGTATATTCATTAGAGGGGGTAACTTTTGACATGTTAATGGCATTCAAAACTCTGTTGTGGGTTTGAACCCCGGACGAGAAACATTTCAGAGCATATGGAGTTTGCTTGCTCTTCCCATGTCTGCATAGGTTTCTCGAGGTGCTCAGGTTTCTCCTACCACTAAGGCAGTGCTGACACTTGTTGGTCTAGGGGTTTTATCAACATTTTTGGACAGTAGTCGTATGCCACCTATGGACCAATGGCTCTAAGTAGTTTTTTTGTTCTTGTTTTTGGACTGTTTTATTATCTGATGTGTCCTACGCGATAACTATTGTTGAATTGAATTGGTCTAGTTCACTTTAACACTTATCAATTCTGGTTCACATGAGGCACAAAAAATCTTTATTTGTGCCATTCAGATGGTTACTGCACCCTCAGCAGCCATATGCCAGCTCAGCTTTTGCGATAATAATTAACCGGCATTGTGTTTGAAGGCCTAGAATTATGTCGTTAAGTGCCCCCTGAAGGCTCACGGACACAATGTCGCAACACACCTGACTGCAGTCTGTGTCTCACTAACTATTGTTTTGACTTTTCCATCTGTCCCTCTCCACACAGAGCCTCCTAAAGTAACGCTGATCCACCTGGACGAGCGCACCCCCTCCAGCCTGTCTTTGTCCTGGGCCCTGTCCCGGAGACCACCAGCCCACATCACCCACCGCTACGAGCTCATGTACAGACGGAAGGTAAAATTAACTTATTACAATATTCTAAATGAGGCCATTCATTGTTTTAAAGTACATTACACTTCATCCTTCAGCCACACTAAATCACATACTCTTTGCGATATTTTCTGCAGCCATACGTCCTCTGTTAATGTATGAGCCGCTCCACACATATTTGTTCTCTTTGTCACTTCAAAAAGGAACAAATTAATCCAACTTTGGTGATGTTTTTTCTTGTCGCAGGATGACGAAGGAGAGCGGGATGTGACCACTTACACCGTCCTGATTTTGGAGAAGAATTCAGTGCAGATTAACGACCTCTCCCCAGACACCACTTACATGTTCAGGGTCCAAGCTTTGAGTCCAGAGGGAAATCCAGGCAGTTACAGCGTGGAGCACGAGTTTCACACCGCACCACTAGGTAAAGGCACATTTAGAGTCACATGTATTACAAATGGAATTACTTTATGTAGTCATGTTTATTTCCAATCTATTTTTACAATACAACTCTATGTATGGTTTAAATCAAGGCTGGACTTTCTTTAAATTGAAGCAAACCCATTATTATTATTTTGCCTTGCCCTTCCTGCGTACAACATATGGTGATATTGCTGTCATTTAAATAAATATTTGTCTTAAAAGTTTCAACTTCCATGTTACAAACGTCATTATCCAAATGAAAAATGCTGTATCAACTGTTAATCATATGTCCCCTGTTCTTTTCCTCCAGCCGAGTCCCAGATCCAGAACAACTCTACAATCGTGATGGGTGCAGTGGTGGGAGTGGCCGTCATGCTGCTCATTGTGGTGGGCGTCCTGCTTTTGCGCAAACGGTTGGTGACACTTTGTATATCCACCTTTTGACGCTTGTGTCATTAAGATAAATACATCTCCTTCAGACTTTAGACAGTGTGTTTATGTCCCACGCACGTCTTGTTGGAAATTAGAGAGGTAGTGTTATGATGGAGGCTTGAATCAGAGAATGCTGTCCTCTTATTGGCTGCCTTAGGTGTCCTGTAATTTTCATAAATCCAGTCTGACTTTTGTTTAGTCTGATAGAGCAGTGTTTGTTCTCCGCAGCAGACTGAGCTCACGCGGCAGAGGAGGCCCAGAGGATCCCTACTTCTCATCAGGTGAGTGGAATTACAGACAGTGGAGAAAGATGTAAGGTTGAACAACACACAATGCAGTTATAAGTAGAGACCTTTAAAGTCATTTCTGCACTGGTCATTTCACTTCATGAATCACTAAGCATATTTTTTCAAAGAATAAAACATTTTTGAAATCATATGACAACAATGTTACAAGTTTATTTAACTATTTAAAGCTAGGGTACTTAACTTCTCACCATACTACCAAACTTTTCCCCATAATTAATACATGTAGTTGGTCTTAACATAAAAAGTCTTCTTCATGGTACAATACCTTATGTTTTTCTCATTTGAAGAAAGAACCTTGTTACGGTTGGCAATTTTTTCACATGGATCTAATGTGGCAGAAGCAAAAAATACAAAATAAAAGTGATACAACCAAAGAGTAACTAGTACATGGTTCAGTTTTTTGTGGTTGGTTAGTTGGATACACAATTTTTAAATACAATTATAGTGTAATTAAGAGCAAATTCAATGAGTTTCTTAATTCATTCCATTATTAATTATTCATAATAAATATTAACTTAAAATTATAGGTCGGATAAGATGTAACCGATCACCTCTTTTCCGCAGACCAACTGAAGCCTTTGAAAACATATGTCGACCCGCATATGTACGAAGACCCCAACATTGCCATCCAGAAGTTTGTCACAGAAATCGACCCCAACTTCATCTCCAAGCAGAAGGTGATCGGGGTGGGGGAGTTCGGGGAGGTGTTCCGAGGCGCGATGAGGTCCCCACTGCGCGGAGAGGTGGCGGTGGCAATCAAAACTCTGAAACCAGGCTACTCGGAGAAGCAAAGGCAGGAGTTTCTGAGCGAAGCCAGCATCATGGGGCAGTTCTCTCATCCCAATATAATCAGACTGGAAGGAGTGGTCACAAAATGTAAGTGGAATGTGTTTTTTAACAGTAAATATGAGATTGTATGAGTTATCTAAAAAAATGTCTTCTTTCATTTTCAGTCAAGCATGTCATGATAGTGGCGGAGTACATGGAAAATGGTGCATTGGACACATATCTAAGGGTGAGCAAGATAATAAGATCATTATTGATCTATTACAAACGTCATTATCCAAATGCTGTATCATAGGGGACTGTATCATAATTTTGTAATTTCTGTCCATTGTGAGAGTTTATCTTAATGACCATCAAGTAAAAAGCGGCATTTGATTTAAAAAGGGCTGTCACCTGAACAGTTTCATATTTCATTTACAAATCATTTATTTTCAAACTAGACGCCATCAATAAGTGCATTTGAGTGAAGACTAGTGACTGCAAATTGCAACAAATTAATTGGAAATTGTCAATTATTGTGCCAAAAGTATACTTTCATAGGACAATTAATTACATATTATGCATATGTATACGCATATGTATATGCATATATGCATATGCATAATAATGGCAGTCGAAAAGATCCTGATGACATCACTGGTGAACTGAATTAACAAAATATAAAGGACAATATCAATTCAAACTTTTTTTCAAGGCTTTTCTTTATTGGATCACCTTATTTTGTAACACCACAGAGGAGTTTTGACCAATCTCGTGCTGAGTACAGGCACTTTTAGTTATTCAGAATATTGCAGATGTATGGATTATCCTTAAAAGAGATTGATGAATAGTTTAATGAGTGGTAGATGAGAGGCAGGCCAAGGTGTGGCTAGAATGATGAAGTGGAGAGAGTGTCAATGATTGTCTGTCGGTATAGTGTAAATAAATATAATGTGCTTATGACCTGCTCTTGTGCCAGGACCGGGACGGGGAGCTGCCGTGCTATCAGCTGGTGGGGATGCTTCGAGGAATTTCAGCAGGCATGAAGTATCTCTCCGACATGAACTACGTGCACAGAGACCTGGCGGCCAGAAACGTGTTGGTCAACAGTAACCTGGAGTGCAAAGTGTCCGACTTCGGGCTGTCGCGAGTGCTGGAGGACGACGCCGAGGGCACCTACACAACCAGGGTGAGCAGGGACACAAAGCCAAGATAAATAGGAAATTAAAATGCGTGCAACATTATAAACAGATAGATAGATAGGAGAAATTCTGGTGTCCAGTAGCAGCAAAAATAAAAATTGATCATTCTAAAAAGCTAACAATGTATGAATGTCTGTCACAACTGAATACCACATGAATGGAAAAAGAAAAAAAGGAAAGAAATGGATTGATGGATAGATAGTTTATTGATCGCCTGTCGGAGAAATTCAGAAGCACAAGAAATAGTGTGCAGTTATAATTTTAACCTTTGGTACCTAATTTTCAAACCATTCTATCACAGTCTTAGGTTAAAGAGGTCTACCCTCCGACAATCTGCTCTCAGCCCAGTGACTCATTTTGCAACTGTCTTACAAGTTAGCAAACTTTTTTGTTTTCTGATGGAATATACGATTTCTATTATCATGAGGGGAAAAAGTTGGGTATAATTGCTTCAAACTGACTGTGCTGCAACAGAAATTAAATGTTAAAGGTTTTGGCATTGTTTTGAGAATTGTCTGGGCACAATTGTAAAAAAAGAAAATATTTAAAAAACACATTTGTTGGGACATTTGTAGAACTGGAGTTAAGTGGTCCCAGTTTGGACCTTGGTAATAGCTGTTTTTAGGACTGCATATTATAGATCACAATCCGTTGTCTATGGATTTTGGTTATTAAAATGTGTTTGGAAAGCTGAAAATGGACCAACTTTGAAACTTGGCGTGAAAAGAACAAATCTTGTCCATACACCATAAATCATTGTCTCTCGAAGCTAAAGCAGAGAACAATCACTTCTTTATTCTTCTTAAAAAGCGATTCCAGATTGTTAATGACCTGTTTAACTCCCAGCCCTCCTCTCTAAATTGTTGCTCTTTCGACGCCTTGTGATTTCCATTTCCCCTGCCATTAAATTTGACTTGTAAATGTTTCTGCTCTGTCAGGGAGGCAAAATACCCATTCGCTGGACGGCCCCCGAGGCCATCGAATACAGGAAGTTCACCTCAGCCAGCGACGTGTGGAGCTTTGGCATCGTCATGTGGGAAGTGATGGCTTTTGGGGAACGCCCCTACTGGGACATGAGCAACCATGAGGTGCGTGTCAGCCACACCTGAATCACGGCTTACTTTGGCCCCGTATGGACAGCGTCGGCGTTGTATAAAGTCCAGGTTCCCAGCGCTCTGAGTAAATGGAGTGGAAAGAATAACACAGTCACACAGCTCTTCTCTGGCCGAGTGCCTGACAAAGCACTATTGTTGTCAGTCCTTCCCAAATACTCAAGTATTTAAGGAGATCGGATGATTCAAAGTGATCCAGGTTGATGGAAAACATGCGCAAAAGGCTTGTAAAGTGCTATTTAAAACAAGGATGGGTACATATTTAAGTTGTAGATATAGTTAAAACAAATGGTTAAAAACACTATTAAGAACAGTTGATTTAAACATTGTCATAGTCTCACATTTTCAGGAAGACTGATACAAAACAGTTATCCGCACAAGTGAAAGTAGATGGAGCAAAATGACAAATCAATCAAACGTAGTAATAACTTTTGAAAAACCATGTAGATATAAAAATAATGCCCTTTATAGTACACATATTTTTGCAGTCTGAAATAATTACAATAGCTGTAATTACTGTGTGTTTAGGTTCAACACAACAAGTTAATCTCACATTCACTCACTTAATGAACTCGTATGTTTTCTCGCAGGTGATGAAGGCCATAAACGAGGCTTTCCGGCTCCCTGCTCCCATGGACTGTCCCTCTGCCGTCTACCAGCTGATGCTCCAGTGCTGGCAACACGACCGCGCTCACAGGCCACGCTTCACCGACATCGTCAACATTTTGGACAAGCTGCTGCGCAACCCGGAGTCCCTCAAAACCATCGCAGACTTTGATCCCCGGTATGTTCACATTCAAAACAGAGTACATTTGTTTTTGCAGCAGCTGCCCTCCACAACTGTTGGCTTAGGGCGTGCATGTGGTTTACATTACATATCGAATTGCTTTCTGCTATTGTTGGTGAGATGAGAAACGACAAAGCATGGGCTGCGGCAGCAAAGTAATCCAGAAAACTATTTAAAAAGTACTTATGGTTATGGTTAACTTAGAAAGGAGATACATAATATGATGAATTAGCACAGTGTGTATGTATGGTAATAAACAAAACATTGCTTTTTAGTCTTTAATGTCCTGTTATCCAAACATAAAGCAATTTGAATAAACGCTAAATTTGAATAGAAATTGTCTGAAATGTAAAAGATTTGCAATAATTAATGAATAAAAATGGGGATGCAATTTGATTGGGTACTATACTCTACTATAAACAGATATAAATATCATACAAAGCTCGTTTCCCTGAAGAGAATTCTAAACAATGGCTTGGACCTATAATAAATGCAATCCTTACCAGAGCATCATATCAAATGTACCTTGCACCTGTCATTATTACAGCCCCAATAATAGAAGGTTTTATATTGCAGAATATCCATCCGCCTGCCCAGCACCAGCGGCGGTGACGGCACCATGTTCAAGTCTGTGTCGGAATGGTTGGACTCCATCAAAATGAGGCAGTATTCGGAGAGTTTCGCTCGTGCGGGGGTCACCAGCATGGACCAAGTTCTGGGCCTGAGGCATGAGTAAGTGGACACATGGCACAGGTGCAGACGCAGAAAGAGAGTATTACAGTGAAAGTATTGAGGCCTGGACAGCAGCATGTGTCCGGACGTCTGCTAACACCGAAATACACCCACTTGCACTTTTCATTCCTCGCATTGCGAACACATGAGGAAGTAATGGGTTACAGTTACACTGGGAGCCCAGGACAAGACTGTTTTTTTAAGTACCAGGGAACTTGTTTAGTCCTTGGCTACTGACATCTTAATTTTTTGAGCTGGTGTGTTTTAGTAAATAAACAATATAATTTCATAGACCTATAACTACACCCTTATAGGCCTATGACACTATTTAAACATTATTCAACTCAAAGTCATGAATCTAAACAAAGACATTGATCAAAATAGTTAATTTTGTTGAAGTTTTATTTGGTATATTTCCCTGCTCTCCTTCCATCATTTTTAGCTAAAACTCTAACCGATACCAATAAATGATGTAACTAAAAGAAGAATGTAAAGGTTTCTGGGAAGCCAGGTTGCTGTATAGAAAGTGTCTTCCATCAAGAAGCTCATGTAGCAATTTTGTGCTACTTTGCTGCTTAATGGATTAAATTAGGTCTGTGTTATCAGCAAAACAGAAAATTGGTGAATTTCCTAAATGTAAATGTTTAAAATTTTTGTACACGTTTTATCTCAATAGTAGTATTCATTGTCATTAGCCATAAAGTATTCTTTTTGCTTCAATTATAATAACATTTGGAATAACAGTAGTTTATTGGACCACTTCTAAATGCCCTTCTCCTCTCACCCCCTTTAGTCATTCCTTATCTTCACACTACACCACAGCTTTCTTTAATTTAATACAGTGCGTATATTGTTTTTAGCTAACCGTATCCAATGTCTGCTTCCCCCCTGTACAGAGACATCAGAAATATCGGCGTGCGGCTGCCGGGCCACATGAAGAGGATAGCCTACAGCATCTTGGGCCTGAAAGACGAGACCAGCTCCCTCAGCGTGTTTGCCGTGTGATCTAAGCATTCCTCTAAATCAAAGTGCACTGACCGACCCCTGCCATTTCACTCACGGAGGACTGGAGCTCAGGCCCTTTTCGAACTGGTCTCGAGGACTGGGGACACTTCAGACGCAAATGTGACAGTCCTCAAAACGTCGCTCTATTTCAACACAAGTGGATGTGTGTGTGTGTGTGTGTGTGTGTGTGTGTATCACCTGTGGACCACGGCACTTGTTTGGTGCTTTCACATCTTCAAAGTGCTCCGGAGTCCACTTCCACTGGACCAAGTGTGAACACACCCGACACAGGCCCAAGAGACTGTTCCTGTGGCAGAGGCTGAAAAGGAGCCCTCCAAGCCGCTCAGAAATGACTGACTTTAAATTAATAAACACTTATGTACTTTATAATAACTGAAGAAAGTAATTTAAATATGTATATGTTGAATATGTGTATACTGTAAAATATTTTTCTGACTTCATATAGCAGTGCTTGGTGTATAGATCTATTGACTGAATTATTGAACTCTGTGAGATTAAGGGCTACTTTTCCCAAGCACTCATGTCTTATAAGGATTTTAAGTAGTATTTCTGCTACGAAAGGTTTTGCAACAATAATGATGGTCTTTTTTTTTTCTTGTTTTAAAAATAAATAATGGAATCATGGTTCCACTCAGGGCGAAGAATCAAACATTCTTACTGTTTGTAGTTTCAATTTTCTTCAAGATTTTTTCCTTGTTTACATCGTGTCTTACAAGTGATAATTTTATTTAATATTTATTTTATATTTATGTTGTATTGTTACATGAAAACCAGACTTTTCACACATTATTGCTAGTAAATGTACTTTGTCTTAAAGAAATAAATCAATGTTGCCTTCTGAAATGTGGCGTAGTATTTTTGTTATAATACTAGATTAGTATAATATGTAACCTCTACCAATAAAAAAGGGTAGGGGAAGGCCCAGGCTAATGACGACGACTGCTGTTGAACTATTAGTCAAATATAAAATGTAAATATGCACTTTATTGTCCCCGTAGGGAAATTCGTCCTCTGCATTTGACCCATCCTGATGCCACTAAGGCTCACGTCAGGAGCAGTGATTGCCATAGTAACAGCGCCAGGGAACCCACCTCCAGATGTTAATGCTCTGCTTGGTCAGGACTACCGGAGCTGGAGGATTTAACCTAGTGTGCATGTTTTTAGTGGTAGGGGAAACCGGAGTACCCGGAGGAAACCTACGCAAGCACGGAGAGAAAATGCAAACTCCACTCGGAAAGACCCCATTGCGACCGTGATTTGAACCCAGGACCTACTTGCTGAGAGGCGAGAGTGCTATCCAGTGCTATGTTAACATTTCATGCATGTAGTTCAGATAAAACAACTTTTGATTCAGGGAGGGATTTTCACCTTCACAATCAAGAAAAGAGAATATAGACTTGATCTCACAATGAAATCAGTGAATAGATTCAAATTGGATAAAAAGCTTAAGGAAAAAGTTTTGAAACTCCTGTAAGGTTTTCATAATGATACATAATGTTGCTAGAAAAATAATCTGTAGATAAACATGCTGTATCATTGTAATTTAAATACATTAAACTTATGTTCTCATTGTAAACTCCATTTGGTATCCAGAAAAAAAATGAATTTGTAAACTTCTTGAATAGATTTATATCATGAAAAAAATCTAAAAGGGTGCAATCAGAGCAATAGCACCTGCCTGACAAAGATGGGCCTGTATCACATCAAAACTTTGACATGTGTTTTAGGTTCATTTCTGTTTAAAACTCATGTGTATCCCCATCTGGCCTGTGTTTTGACAGCGCAGCCTCATTCAGATGAAACTTTCTCACTTCTCACAGACTGGGGCCAAAAGTCACACACACACATTACTTGGCTTCATCACAGGACTGTCACTGGGCTAAACTTGTCGTCTTGTGTATATATTGACAGTTCTCCGGTAAAGTGCCAATTTTGTGACAGGGCCCTGGGCCACTGCCTTAACCCTTGTATTATGTTAAGGGTCAATTTGACCCATTTCAGTTTTTGAGTTGATCAAAGTACTGGTTATCCTATCTTTTTCTTGCTGAAATTTGGTGACTTTTCCTCATCTAGGGTCATGAACAGGTGTGTAAAATCTGGACACTTTGATGTGTAGTGGAATGTCTGTGCAGAGTTTGTATACAAAGATAATGTTGCGGGTCATTTTGACCCAGACGCTTTAATGTGGGTAAATAGTTGTTCAGATCCAAAAAAACATTTCTCTTTGACATTGTATTTTGATTGCCTCTGAGACCCAGAGCCAGGTGTGTGAGGAGAGGGAACTTTTTCACACTTTTCCTTGTCACTGTTCTCATGTCATCTCTTTTGCTTAGCGTACATCGGACTGGCAACTGATTATATCCGTCGCCTTTGAGTTCCTGCCCCGCACACATCGACAATGTGGTGAAAACGGGCATCTCCTAGTAGCAGGCCAGTCTCGGGAACAACAGCGCATACATCGACAGCAACTGGCCTCAACTACAGTGTTTTTTCTGACATAAACTGTAGAGGGCGCAATACACGCAATACACAAATGTTGTTGGAGCATATCGGGTGATATCTCCGGATCTGAGTAAAACTAGTTGCCGAAAAGTAGAACACGGGCAACTGAATCCGGAGATCGACTGTTTATCTCCAGTTGTAAGAGCGCTCACATCGACCGATTTCAGCAACTGAGGATTTTTCAGAGACAGAGGACAATGTTATTGCTGATCCAGATTGTCAATTTTCCTACGATAAGGAGGATTCAGAGGACGAATCTTTGGTCAAAGAAGAGGAAGGGAGGAAGAAAGGAAGGTAGGAAGAAAAGAAGGGAGACAGGAAGGAAGGAAGAGAAAAGAAGGGAATATAGAAGGATGAACAGAGAGAAGTAAAACAGGATGAGAAAAAGGAAGGAGAAAGCATGGCAGGAGGAAAGAAGGAGGGAAGAATTGTCATTTTGACCCGAGAGGAGGACAAGAAGATTAGTCTAAATAATTCTTAAATATAGCGTTGGAATTTAAAATGTATTGTATGTCACTTTTCTAAATATTTATATAACCTAAAATAAAGTTGTTATTGGTTTAACCTGTTTTCTTGACTGTTTTGAGTGCATTTACACAGTACGGGTCAAAATGACCCGCAACATAATCAATGTCATTTTTTTCCAACATAATACAAGGGTTAAAGAAAAACAACCCTTTTATAAGTTTTAACACATGCAAGCTTTTACAGGAACTAAGAATAGCTACTTTGGTAAACTCAAGCTTCTGAGTGACGGTTCATGGACTAGTGGCAAATGTAGCATCAGATCAATGTATCCCACCCAAGTTTAGACAAAGGTCACAGCTCCTGGTCCAGACAGAGGTTTAAAAACACCCTCCTTATGAAGCAGCATACTATAATCTATTTAAAATGCCACACACACTATGGGTTCAAGACATTCTAATTCAGAAAATGGGACTGACTCAACATAAACGCAACATTTACTTTATAATAGAACTATGTCTTTGTGTGAGAAATGAAATAGGGTCTCGCCCCCTCACAGATTGCCTATAATGATATAGGCGGGCAACTGTAATCTAGTTGCCTGGATCATTCCAAGACTCAGTGCCTGGGGCACATGAAATGTGTAAACCGTATCATTCTGAACCCCAGCTAATCCAGTGGTTTTATGTTCTCCATTGGCATTGAATGACTTACTTTGGAACATTCTGCAAAGACACATCTTATAAAAAGCTGGAGGGACTTCTTCCTTCCAGTTTTTAGGGTTAAGGTTAGGGTTCCAGGGCCTTTAAACATGTTTTTTTTCTTATAAGTTTTTCTGCTAATGTGAGGGAGTATGAGTAGTAAATGAAGTATTGCTGTACTAAATGATGATACTGAAAAGGTCTCGTATATTTAATTAGTTGGGCTTCTTTTGTCAGAATCAAGGGAAAAGATACAACTTCTACTGTGGTTGATTTTCTGGTCGACACAATAATGAAAAAAAAAATCATGATTGGTGAGCTTTTATTTGATTTTTTATAGACTATATCCAAGCTCTTGCTATGGGTGACATTTCTACAAATCCAATATTAGTCACATTTGGATGAAGTCGGGATTACGAGGAGTGATGGAATAATCCCAGCAAGATTTTAGCTGGACTATGATGGACTATGCTGGACTTTAGCGCCCTTTAGTGGCGACTATGCTTGTTCAATAGAATAGTATGCTGTTGGAAGATCTGATTGGAGAATATTTTGTTTTGAAAAATAAATGATTATGAATTTAAAATATGGGGTAAAACAGTCAGGCATTTGTCTATTACGTGTGAGGTCTAATAATTTGAACGTTTCTGATTTAACAGTTATGTCTCATTACATATGTTTATTTATAGTTCTATTGAATCTAAATACAAACTGAAAATGGACACATTTTGGTTACACTTTAGTTTGACCCTCACCAATTGAAAAATAATGTATAGTTAATTAGATTTAACTTTATTATGCACTTATTAGGCCTTATTTCTACATGGCCTTTTTCGACATCTAAGTACTAACTGACACTTTCCCATGTGGGTTAGGGTTAAAGTTAGGGTACACTAAATAGCGTTTAATTAGCTGTTAATTAGTGAGGGCTAATCTAAAGTTACCCACATTACATCTCGATCCACGATTTGCATTTAGTTAAACGAGTTTTTTTTAGCAGCACTTTTTTTTTTGTTTTAGCTTCTTAAAAATTGTACAATAAACCAAATATACACCAAAATAAACTCTACAATGATAAAATAAATACAATCAAAAATAGTGGTTTGTACTGGCGGAAGTGACGAAAGCGTTGCTAAGGAACTAGGAATGTATACGGAAGAGTCGCGCGCGTGGAGCTATTATGCATCACACTATGATCAGACCGCAGACCAGTACAATGTAGGTTTTTAAGATGGTAACTTATCTACATGAACAACATTTTTAAACTTTTAGACAGTATTGCGCTGTGCTACACGTAACCTGATGCCGCCAACTTCAAGCTAACGTGACAAGAAGAAAATGGATGTTCCTTCTCCCGGATCAATCATCGTGTTGGACTGGCATCGGTGTAAAGACAGCAAAGAGTATTTCAATAAGATCCTCCACAAGAAAAGGAGGAGGCAGTTTGGTATATCATGAACGTTTGTCTTTAGTGTAGCTTCACGTATTTGGAAACAACTTAAAATCTTTTATCCCAACCGACGTTAGACAGCAGAAGTTTGTTGGGAATATGGACTTTAGTGTGTGTTGGGAGCTTGTATTGTTGATCTGTTTGTATTGGCTCCTCTTCATATCGCTAAAGTTATTCATTGACATTTCCTGTTTTTTGTAATGCCCTAAGATGCAAAAATCAATTACCTCTGGTGGGATAAATAAAGTAGCCTGAAACTGAAAGTAGCCTGAACCTGAATATATGGTTTTTATGATAAACTTTGTGTTTAGGATTACTGGAGTCACCCATGATGTCCCCCCTCGCTGCCGTGGATACTATTCAATACAAAATCTTCCTTTCTGGCAAAAGTGGAGTTGGAAAAACCACTGTTGTTGCTCGTTTGGCTGGTGTAAATGTACCCAATGTGCATTATGAAACGATAGGTCAGACACAACAACACAGCTTTCATTGTGTGTTTACAAAAGATTATTCTAAACTTATTGTATTTACTATTTGCAGGTATTGAAACCACTGTAGTGTACTGGCCGGTGAAAATCCAAGATAGTGGAAGAGTGCTGTTCTTTCGCCTTCAGTTCTGGGACTGTGGAGACAATGCTTTGAGAAGATTTGACCACATGCTTCCAGTGAGTGCAGCAATAACAATAATAATGACACAAACGTAAATTATGACCCGCGATTCTTACAGTTTTGTAAAGAAGATTTGGATGCCGTGTTTCTGCTCTTCTCATTCACTGATCGATCTTCGTTTGAAGATCTCCCAAATCAAATATGCAAGTGGATGGGGCCCTCGCTGGACGGGATTGTCAAACTTGTGGTGGGCACTAAGTATCCTTTTAATATATTCAATTGTTCAGTATTGTGTTGTAGAATTTGCATTTCCTTGAGTGCATGCTTGACCCCCAACCATTTGGTAGATTACCTTTGAGTCTATATATTCACTTTAAGCATGCTTGGAACGGAAATATACCTCTTTGGGGCATCTTACTTGGTTTTAGGCACTTTTACCATCAAACTGCATCTGAAGCATTTGGTAAAGCCCTATAATGAAATAATAATTGGGGTTAAAAGGAATATAAACGTAAAAACAACTTAGTGTTATTAGTGCTCCTACAGCTTAAAAAAAATTACATTGCATTCTTCAAGACGTGTAAGTCGGTAGTAGTCAGTAAATGTATCAGTGAACAGCTTTCATGTCTATGTACGTATATCTACAGCCAGTATTAATATCAATATTCAGAGACAAAATAACAGTATATTTCTTATAATTAACAGGATTTAAAGTAGTACCAGAAAGTGAATCCCTGAAACTTAGAGTTAGAAGACAACAAAAAAAAATCACCAGGTCAATGTATAGGAAATGTGTTAGAAGCAATTCAGCTTCTGTGGTGCCTAAAGATCTCTAAGCCATGTTTTTTACAAAAGAAAGTTCAATGCAGGAAAAAAAAAAACATTTCCACAAAACCACATTGGAGCCTGTAGATTTGAACATATTTCAAAACAAATACAAATGTACTTCTTGAAGCCTAAATAATACTAACCCACTAATAAATATACAGTATTTCTTGACCAATTCTCCAGATTTGACTTGTTTATGCACCGTGACGTGGCAGAGCGAGACGTGAGGGCCTTCCGCTCCTCCTGGGTGCTCCCACTGCTGCGTGTGGGGGGGGAGGTCAGTGATTGTCTGGGGGATGTGGCGCTGCTCCTGGACTGTCTTTGTGAAAACCTGTGGCACCAGGACTGCCTCAGAGCTGCAGCCCAGAAAGACCAGCCACAGACCGAGCCCGATACTGGCCTTTGATCATATGCTTGTGTCTCATGGACTTTTCTACACGATTGGTGAAATGTGCCAATCTCAGTTTTCGGATTTTATCTAGGCATTTCATACACTAGCTTGGGTGATTTGAGCAAAATAATGCAACTGGAAAGAAGGCGAACAGTCACTATTAGAAATTCAAAGATGCGAGGAAAAGAAAAACTGCCTTCCCTATACATTATGTACCGGTAATTTGTTCATTATTTGTAGCTTATTTCTTATTGCCTTCACCAAAATATTTGCAAAATGGTGCCTATAAATCTGGAATAACCAACTTTGCTTAATGTCTTTATACCAGGAGTCTCCAACCTTTAGCTCGGGAGCCACCAGTAGCTCGCCACATCCTTCCAGGTAGCTCAAAGGATTTAGAATTGAACAAATGAAATCAGATTGTATTATTCATTATCAACATTTATTATTGTAAATGCATTTTGTCACTAGTAACAAACATGCAATGATAAATAATGACTGTACCCACCAGGCTTTTTCACATCAATATCACCACATTTTTCCCAGGGACGCTTAAAAGGAGTAGCTCTCTGCCTCTATCGTCCCGGGAAAGTAGCTCTCTGGGTGAAAATGGTTGGAGACACCTGCTTTTATACTATTGAAAAACCTGTTATATATTTGCATACTTTTGCCTGAGGGTGGTCTTCTCTCGTTCACTTTGAAAAAGCTGATCTAAAGATGTGACTGAGGCCAAAAATAAAGTTCTCTTCTGCACATTAAAAGCTTCCAAATGGAGATCAAAGTATATATTTACTACATAGATTTACACAAGCAAAACCAATAAATAACATTTATTATGTAAAATAAAACAGTTATGAACAGACCACCAGTGTTAAGAATAAAGCAAAACAATTACTTTCGTTGAGTGAAATAAATACAATTTGTTTATATAACGTGGATAACGTTTAAAAAAATAAAAATAAAAAAAATAAAAAAAATCACTTTATGAAGACAATGCTTTCATCCATGTCTCCTTTTCAGACCTGAAATTACACAAGAAATTCAATTCATTTTTGTATGACCTTAAATCACAACAGAAGTTATCTCGGCAAATCAACAGTTTTGTAAAGTCCTCCAACACAGATCTGAGAATCAAACAGTTCAAAACTCAATACATGCAGTGATAAAACAAACCTGTGTCACCTAAAACATGGCTCATTTCAGATGCGTTCATGTCCACCCAGACTCTTACCTCGTCTCAGTGACCAACACCAGAACTGTAGCTTTCCCCGTGTGCCTCGTGGACAGATGAAGCAGGAATGAGTTTGGGGGCAGTCCCAGGACTTCAGCCTTTAGTCCCTCACAGCGAATGTGAGCTGGGACCTCTGCATAATCCAGCACTTTGAACTGCTCATCCCTAAAAAAAATAAAAAAAATACACAAGATAGACAAAATTATTTCGCTTTATAAATTATATGTAGATTTTAATGTTGCATGTGTGAGTGGTGATGGTGCGTGAAGACCTTTTAGAAGAAATGATCAAAATGTCGCTGAGAAGATGGAGATAGACGTTTGTGAAAGCCATCGGCGAGTTAACGGAGCCGTCCAGACTCAGCTTTTTCATTGGACCTTCGTGCACGAGGAAACGTCCGCTCACGACCAGAGGAATTGACTGATCGGACACACAACATGTTGACACAAACAGAATTGACCAGTATAGAAACTTTGTAGAGGAAGAAGTTATTACTTTACCTTCATTTTACCAAAATCAAGCAGCATTTCCAAACAGACGAGTTCCTCAATTTGTTTCATTTTTTTCACTTTATTGTCACATTCTTGCACTAGCTGAAATGAGCAGCATTTAGTAGTAATCATCTCACACAAATAATAATAATAATAATAATAATAATCCCATTGTACCTGATGAATAGCCTGAACGGCCTTTTCCAGGTTTGAGTCAGATTCGGGCAACGTCAGTTTCTGAATAGTCTGCAATTTACAAGAGAAGTTTGACCAGATATTAAATCTATTTATCTTTGTATTATGTCCTCAATAAGTTTCATTGTATAGTTCTATTAATTTTATTCTACAGAACAACAATTTTCAGATGGAGGCTTGTGTATAATCTTGGTATTCAGTGTCCTTCCATCTGAACAATGCTTTTTCAATAACCTCACCTCCAGAATGAGTTTAATCCTGGTGATTCTTTGAAAAGGTATAACCAGAAAGGACTTCAAGCTCTGCCTTTGACAAATCGGATCCTTCTCAAGTTTAGAGAGTGCGTTCTGGAAAGCTTTGTTCGCTTGCCTTTGAATACAGACACATGTTTCAGACCAGACCACACAGAACTCCACCCATGTCCTCAAGTGAGTCCAGTTTTAACCTGAAGACTTGAGAAAAGAGGTGGAGTCTGGTGTGCTCCTGCTTGGTTGGAATAAAGTACTGGGTTGTCTTACAGTAGTTTGCTGATGAGAGCCTCCTGGTACATCATGTTGGTCACATAAGGGACGTAAAGACGAAGAAACGCAGGGCAGTGTCGGAGCACGACGTCTCCGACCTGAGGACCAATCAGGATGCTTTCCCCCAGGCGGAGTTCCAAGTCGGTGAGAAATCTAAGAAAAAACAAACACTGACTGGATAGATGTGATTTTTAAGAGCTGACTAGATATACATTGGAATCTGTGCGTAAATTCGGACGGAAGAGGTGAACAATACAATGTAAAATGTGACCCAAGAGAAGTGCTGTAGAAAACTGATGCAGTAAGTGACAGAGAAAAACTGAGGAATTATTAATGTATGCAATTTTGATAAAAACCATCAAAATTCATTGCTAACATGTTCTAACCTTATAATAGTGTTCGTAAGTAGGAGAAGTATTATTAAATTCACCTATCTATTGAATGGTGGGGCTATGGTTGTGTGTGAATGGTTGGTGGTGGTCGTGGTCGGAGGGGCCGATGGCACAGACTGGTTGCCTCGCTTCTGTCAGTGTGCCCCAGGGCAGCTGTGGCTACAGGGGTAGTTTATTACTACCGTGTATGGAGTGAATGAATAATGACATGTAAAGTGTCTTTGAGTGTCCAAAAAAGCGCTATATAAAACTGATGCATTATTATTATTATTATGAGAGTACAAATGTAGGTCAATCACGTCCATTTCTGCGTAGAAAGTAGAACACGGATTCTGTGTGTAGACGTTCAAGCCGGTGTGACCATGCGTGCCTCAAATGTGTGAAAATGAAACAGTGGACAATATTAGCTGCAAACTGACTATTGGTTTAAAGAGCGCAATATCCTTGCGCAAGATGCATATGGTTGTGGCGTGCATAATAAAAGAAAGATAGTTTTGTTATTGTTACAAAAAGAGGAATTGGAGGTGGCCATTGCACGCTCCCCTTTGAGAACCTCTTATTGAGAACCCGGGAAGTGTGCCTTTAAACATCAAACTCACTTCTCACTGGCTGCTGTAATGCGCTGGATGTTGGAGAACAGGATGTGATGCTCCATCTTGGTCAGTGTCCGTTTTAAGGTTTTGGAAGCGTAAAAATGTTTCACAGCTACGTCCAAACTCCTCAAGTACGAGGCTTCGGAGCAGATCAACTCAAAAGACGTCTGCGAACAAAGACATTAGAGCATGTTGGGGGTAGATGTTGGAGATATGTGTATAGCCCTGGGTCTATCATCAGCAGACAAAAAATAAATCAAAATAAATCAAAATCAAACTAAACCAACATGATATAGAAAGAATTACTGTATTTCCAAGACTTTAAGCCCTTTGCCTGAACAGGGTTTAGGTATATACAGACATTAGGTCAATGTATGCATTTTATTTGTGGTAATGTTTCCCCTAGGACGCATAAAAGCAATATCAGCTTTGCTCTATGTGTATGTGAACAGCAGAGAAACAACACAAGGACTTAAAAAAAAAAAAACCATTCTGCCACCAGAAAAATAAAAAAATACTGAAATACGTATGGACCCATGAACCTCCCCAGAGTTAAATGTGTTATTTACAAAGCTTTGATCATAACATAAAACAGTCACCAGTTACAATGCCTATACATGTGACCTCAGTCATCAGTAACTATAGACATCTTCAATGTGTTCTAAAACAGCAGCTGAAACGCATTTAGGACAGGAGAATAGATCACAATAAATATGTCTTTGATGGCGATCGTCGTAGACTACAGAATATAGTTGTTCTTTGAGTAGTCCAGATTATTGATTGATTATTCATTTCAAACCTGCACAATTCACATTCATCAGTTTAGGCTGCGGTCACACATATACAGTCCAAAGTTTGATTAGGGGTTGAGTGAAGCGATATATCACTGAGGAGAACAAGACTGATGATAGTCCAGTCCAATCCAATGAGGGTTATTTGGTCTCCTGATAACGTCTGCCCTTGTCGTATCAAAGTGAAAAAAATAAAAAGTACCTCGTGAAGTCTTATCTCTTTTGGGTTTAAGTTTTGGAGCACCCCAGAGGCCTTCACCTCCTCCAGGTCTTGCCACAGGGTGCTGGGTGTCACAGTGATAGGGGTGGGAGGCCTGTTGTTTTGGGGGGAGCTGCTCGGGGACGAGTGGAGCTTCTCTAGTTGAGTCTGTAAACCTTGGACGCACTGCGGCGGCAGCAGCTCAGACAGACACGACTGCTTGAGCCTCTGGATGTCGTTGCGTACATTTTGCGAACAGTAGTCCTGATAGAGAGGCACTGATGAACAGAAAACAATGTGGACAATTAGATCATTGCCTTTTAGTCAATGTCTTTCTTTTGTAAGACACATCTGAAAAAAGACATTGTACAGAAAATTTAACAACAATACAATCTACGTAACAAGTTCCTCCATCTCTAAACAGTTTGTCTCCATCACTAGTTCAATCTGGAAAAAGCTGATATCAAAGATGTGATAAAGTCAAAAGGATCACCCTCCCATCACTTCTCATGCAAATGCGCTGAGCAGCATCAGAATCTGAATACATGTTATTGCGATTGTAATTAACAGTATTCACAGGGCTCTTTCTGACTAGTATAATAAGGCATAGTACTATAGCACTTTTAATAATAACCAAAAATACTTGGGATTATTCATTCTCTCACAGCTGCCCTGGGGTAGACTGAAAGAAGCGAGGCAACCAGTCCATCCCATTGGCCCCTTCTGACCACCACCAATAATTCAAACCCACACCAGACTGAATTAAGTGTTCTGCCGAAGGGACATAATGACAATGTAGATTTTATAGCCTCAGCCGCCCCACTGTAGTACCTGGGATTCCCCAAGGTCTCCCATCACAATTCTAACCAGGCCCTGCTCGCTTAGCTTCTGCAATTGGACAAGATCTGGCTTGCACAAATTATGCATTTTTTTATTAAAAAGGATAAAGAGAGCATGTTTTGGTCCACTTTGTTCACCATATTTTACAAGAATATTTCTGTTGGACAAACAACGTGCATTATTTGTGATGAAAACAAACAAGTTTCTCCAGCTTTAACAGTAAATTAACTTCACTTCAAATAGAAAGGCATATTACATCATCTAAAAAATTCCAAAATATGGTATTAAACCTGTTAATCTTCACAAGACAATCACTCAAGTAAAATATAAATACATCAAAAAGAATGCACAACATGGAGAAGTTACATCTTTAACAACAAGAACTTTAAATAAATTAAGTACTTACAGTTATTTATGAATTTAGAGTGAACCCTCGCTCCCCTTTCTCCTTCTTCTTCCTTGGACTCAGACCTGTGGAAAGAATCCAACAATGAATATTACAGGAAATATGCATGACCTTCATAAATGACTTTGGACTCTAGACATATTCTGTCAAACCCAGGATCTTTCTCGTCATTGATTTCCTCTGAGCCGGAGCGGTCAAAGATCAGCTCTCCCACAGCTGAGAAAATCTTGTCAAAATCTAGTGTACGCGTTGAAGACATGGATCCTGAGAAATGGTCTGTGGACGGGCTGCAAAAACAGAGAAGTCATTGTGAAATAGTCAGTTCAGAACAAGAAAGGTTGCAAAGGTTTTAAGTTTTTTAGGACTAAAAGTATTATTATGACAACTAAATTCACTATGTCTGCCATGTATATCTGCCATGTAAATCATTGGGTATTGAACCCAACAGTTAGGTTTCAATTAAAAAAATTCAATTAGAAAAAATTCAATTAGAAAAAGTTGATGATAGGTATTGATATTTATCTGTATGTTTTAAATGTGAAGCGCTTTGTGATCCTGGTCTGTGAGGATCAGTAAACTTTACTTACTTAGCATGGGAATTAAATGTATAAGCACCTGCTCATTACAATGCTGGTGTTTGAGAATATTATGATTCAATTTTGCCCAGTCACAAAATAATTACAAAAAATAGATAAAAATCAGGAAAAGCATGTGATAAGCAATAACCGATAATCTTCATGTAACTACAATGCCAAATTGTTCCACTAAGAAGCCAAGATACAAATTTGTGGTTACATCAATTAAAACTTTAACTATGACTTTACAGCAAACAGCTTGTTGTCAATGTACTTATACATATTACTAAAATGCAAAACTGTTCAGAATATCTTTTTTGGTCATCATTTCTGCACAGCCTTACCTCTCCTCTGACTGAGCCATGGTCCCTGATCCAGGAGGGGATTGACTGAGGGATTACATAAAGGCAACCAGGTGTGTTCAGCCCATGGTTCAGCCCTGCCCACAAAGCCAACCATCAAAACAGATGATACCAAGTTGCAAACAAAAGGAGCTGCATGTAGTTAAAAGTAAAACAATCATATTCAGTCATTATGATTGATTACTATATAATGTTTATGTTAAGTTCTTACGGTCTATAGAAGTGGATCAATTTGAACTTCTGTAGAAGAGAGAGAATGTATAAAGGGGCAGGGAACATACATTTTACTTCTTCCTACTCCTTTTAAAATTGTGTTTATGTAAGTTTTGTCTTTTTTTATTGTAGTGTACAATTAATAATAATTAAAAAAAAAAAACCTATAACAACATTAACCATCCATCTTATGTTGCCAGAATAATCTGAAAATAAATGTGGTGCTATCATTGTGTTTTAAAAGATAAAGCCACAGCCAGATTTCACGAAGAAACTGGCAACCCAAATGTGACCTCTGCTCTCTGATTGGATCATTTGGCTTGAAACGCTTCATGTCCATTGTATTTTTGATTAAAACAAATAAATCCAGGCTAAACGTTTGATCAGAAAATTTAAATTATGATTTGACCTGTATCTGGGGACACATAAACGTTGCACATGTAATTTAAAATAAAAACATTACTGAGAGTCGCTGAGAAACCAGGGAAGTATGCAATTTCTATTAAAGATTCAATGTTAAACTTTTGTTTGTTTGTACCTCGATCTATTTGACAGCGGAAAACATATTGACCAAATCCCCTAAAAAGAATAGGTTAATTAAAGACAGGGTGCATTGGTTTTTCAGTGAAGAAAGGTGTTTTCCCAACACACGTATGTCTTTGTTGTATCACTTTCATTTGCCTTTAGAGACAAGGAACATCTGCGAGACTGTTACCCATATTCTTAGGGTTAGTGTTGAATGTGTATTTACTCAGAGTTGCATCTACACATCTTTGAAGCAGACAGATTCGTATGTGATTTCAATGCAATAAACACAAGAACTCCCAGGGCAGTCATTTTGATGGCTGTAAAGTTTGGAAGTGTAATTACTCAGCTCAAGTACCTTTTCGGCCTTCATAATTTTGTGACTTGTTCTGTGTCTAAAACTATCTCACTTTATTGGGGAATTTATCGGAATTCCATTGATTCGAAAGGAGGCAGTCAATATGACGGCTCTGAGAGTTCTAGTAGTTTCAGATTTCTGGGAGTCCTTGTGTATAACGTGTCTAGGTGCTATTGTGGAACATTTCAGGCAAAGGATGCAGAGACAAAGCGCTCTCTGGCACAAAAACAAAATGTACAAATATTATTGCATTTTTATTTGCAATTTTAAAATTTTATACAAGATAAAAGTAAATCATTAAATTTGCCAGTACATTAAATCCTCCACAAAAAAAAAAAAAAAACTGATATGGACCTATTCTAACAGAAACGCAGAAATAATGATTTGACACAAAGTAAAAATCTAATTGCGGCAAAAAATGAAGAACATTATATTGAAAAAATCTGATAATTTCTGTACTTTCCCATAATATAATCATTTTTGAACACTCATTTGGTATCCCAGTGCCGTTCAGGGGAGGGGAAAACAAAACATGACTTTTTGATAACCTTTTCAAAAAGCTGTAAACTTGTGGCTAATTTATCACATTAACGTTTCGCCGTCTGAAAGTCCAAATGCCCGTTGGTGGAAATCTCAAAGGAAGCGCATGAGCTGAAGTCAAGTTATTTTTCTCTTAACACATAAATAAAAGAAGAAAAAAACCCCTCAATGTCAAGTCATCCGTTGGCCATTTAGACAAGCAAAAAGAAATACAAATTTTAAAACAATAAAAAGGAGCAGGCGTCCATAACATCTGCATGCAAACACACCTCACTGAAAGTCCATAGAGTCCAGACAAAAATGTATTTTGTTTAGGATGATATTTTAGAAGTTTCATCAAGGATATCCCTGTGCTGGACGCGCTCCCGATCTGCGGAGGCCGTCAGTCCAGACCAGAGGTGGAAAGCAGGCCATTTTCAGGATTAAATTCCGTTGCATCGTGTAGTTCAGTTGACTTCATGTCTGTACTCAAGTTTCTTCACCCTGTGTTTTTTTCAAGAAAATATTCACTAGTGGATAATTTCAATTCAATAATACTCTAGGTCTTATCTTTTCAATTTTAAGTTTGTAGTAGCAGAGAAGCTAATGTGTAAATGGAAAATGTGGATAAATTCTCTTCCTCCTACGCCTTTTCCGGAAACATTTTAGTTGGATTTTGTTATAGGTGTGTTATTTTACGATAATAATAGCAACTGTGATGCTTGTGTGTTTGCCAGAAATAAATACATTTTTGCGAATTTTGGCTTTTGTGAAGATCAATAGGGCAGGTATATTCAACGTGCAGCAACGTGGGGAACGAATTAGGCGACACCATCACACACATTCTTCCAAGTATAAATAAAAGAAAGAAATTTGATATCACCCAAGTTTAAGTTTAAATGTGGGTTTTTGTGGTATAAAGGATTGATTGATTGATACATATTAGTTTAGGAAGCCACAAGCAGTGATATAAAAAGGCAATATGATAAAATCTGGCCCAAATCCATGGCTTGCAGAAAAATCCGACTCTCCCAGAAATTCAGTAAAATATCCCCGAATTATTCATGTACCATCAAATTTACTTAAAAAATATATATACATTTTTCTAAACAAATATTCAGCCCCCTGGATTCAAAAGTAAAAAAGAAACCCCCTCCCCCAAAAACATGCATTTCATGTGCATTAGAATAGATAGAAAACATTTTTGCTTCAGGGCCTTGAGGCGAGCATTGACCACAAGACCATCATTTATAGTTTACGTATGTTTCTGAAACGGCTCAGTGTTGTTCTAATTGTGCTGTTGACAGTGCTTTTCTCAGAGCTCGTTAGCCACAGTTGTGTCTTTAGACCATTAGTGTTATGATATTTTTAAACGCTTATGGGGATTTTTCATGCGAGTGTTTTACGGCGTGGCTCCACAGAATTGGATTTAGGGCAGTTTCCAAAACGTCTGCATACGAAGACAGAAGGTTCTGAGAAGGTAAAGTAATAAACAAAGTCAGTAAGGACAATTTGAACCGTGTTCGTATGCGCATTTTTTGTCAACTGATCACAATCGTTGCAACTCTTAAAGTCTTTTGCAATAACTCCCTGATGTAGTTTTGCATACAATAATCACAGTTGTTACATTCAAAGCTTTACTTTGAGTGTATTTGTTATGATTAATAGATGCAGAAGTTTGCTTTTGTGTCTCACAGTTTTTTCACTCTTTCCACCTCTGGTAAAGACCTGCGTGAACGGCCTTATGGTGGGATGATTCAGGTGGGCACAGTGATTCTCCGGGCCAGTAGAGCAAACAGCGCTCTCTCCACTTCACCTTGAGCCTTCTCCAGCGCCTCTGCGGCCTCGCGAGCCGAAAACCCAGCTGCCTGAATCCTCTGGATGTGCTCTACGGGGAAGGGTCCCACTACAGTTTGCGGCGTTATGTCTTGAGATGAAAGACGTGATAAAACCGGAGCGAAGGGGTCATGGGGACAGTCTGAAGAGGCTGCAACAGTGGGCTTATTTTCAACGTTTAAAGGGCTAACAGTTTGTTGTTGGTTGTTATTGCTAGCAGCCCTTTCCTCTTCACCTTCTCCATCTTTACTAAACTCGTCACTTACCATTTCTTGAACAAATTCTGATGAAGGAACGTTGCCTAAATCAGTTATATCTTGCATGCTTCCCTCTTCAAAACATTGTTCTTGTTTGTATCCTTCTACAATTTCGCACATATCTGCTTCTACGTTGTCACCGTTGCTTGACAAATCAGCACAATCAGACAGTCCTTCATCGGATACATTAGTAGCAGTAACAGTAGAAGTTGTTGTTGTAACGTGACTGTCAACTTTGGCATCAGTTGTTTGAGAAATGGCAGTTTGGGGATTGTCTGGAGCTGGCGGTGGCGATGTCGAGGCGCTGCGGTTTTCACTGGACTTGTTCGACACAATCAACTCGTGCAGCTCCTTCAAAGCGGCTGCCAGGGACGGGATACTATTGGTGCGTGTGCGATGCTCCGACTCCGGCTCCGGCTCGATGACGGAAGCCGGCGCCATTTCCACGGGGAGGTGTGGCTGATCCGAAACCCGCTCCTCCTGCTCCATTGGCTGCACGGGAGACGAAGCGAGCTCTGGGTTTGTGGTGCTTTTTGCGTCGTTGATTGTTTCCCGATCTTCCTCTGCCTCGGTGGACATGGGAGAAGAGGGGAGAGCATCTGCAGTGATTGGACAGCTGGTAGAGGGCACACTGGGGTCAATCTGCTCTGACAAGTGGATAGTCTGGCCCTTGGATTGTCCGGGCTGCTTTAAGTCTTGCTTTTTCACCGATGATAAGGTGGCCGCTTTTGTAGGGACCAGTGATGACGGACCTGGGATGGGACTTGGGGGTTTCTCTGAATAAGTTGATGATATTTTGGGTAAAGAAACTGAACTTGGGAGCTGGGGTGAGGTAGTTTGTCCACCTGCAGTGTCTAAGAGAAGTACAAATGAATTAGAAGGGAGCCCTTTGATTTAATTTGAAGAACGTCCTTAGTCATACCAATAATCAATGTATTGCCCCTGAAACCTTATTGTCGCTTATTGTATCTGCTTCGTCTGTGTGTGCATGTATACATCACTTTTTCTTCAAAATGCACACTAAATGGAAAATAGTGAGGGGTCATAACTTTGATTCAAACAGAAATTATCAAGTTAAAATGTGGAATTATGATGCAATAAAGCAGCTTCCATGGCCTTTCCATAATTTCAACATTTGTGGATTTCTCTTTTATATAATTCATCAGTGTAACATAATTAAGGATCCTCATTTTGTTTTGCCATTCACAAATTTTTTATAATGCAATGTTTGATGCTTAATAAACTGTGTATTTTGTTTCAGGGGCAATGTTAATTGACATGTAATATTCAAGGTCTTTCTGAGCAAACAAGGTAAAATTACAACATCAATCATAGAAACAGCAGCAACGTAAATGGGAAATGATAGAAATAAACCGCAGTGGACTTAGCACCGGTTATGGTTGTTGCAGTACCTGGTTGGTCGGGCCCTCTGCTGCTGGTCCAGTGCATCAGTGCTGTCCTGCTCAGGTTAGGCACACACCACACATCGTGCAAAGGATGAGAGAGTTAGCAGTCACACACGCATGCAACACAGCCTTTTCACCAGCCCAGGTGAAAAGAGTCAGCCTCAACTGACAGAAAACTATGGCTCTACTGTACCCGATGAATACTCAAATTATGAATGCAAGAACTGTATAATTTTAAGTTTCAAAAGGTAAATAATGGCACACTACATTTAATAAAATACTTAACTGCTAGTGTTCATCTTTAAAATGCTTTTTTCTAGAATAGTTTATACAGAGCTGTCACCGAACCCAAGCACCTTCCTGCAGGTGGTGGGTCCATGATGGCTGCTCTGTCAACAAAGACCAAGCCTTGTTTTTTCAGCGAGGGTTTGAAAATAATGTCCATCCATCCATTGTCTTCCCCTTAATCCATTTCTGGGTCAGGGGGGTGGCAGTCAGAGCTGCACCCAGTTCACAGAGCACTGATCCTCCTGCAGGTGGTGAGTCCACAGGAGCCTTGATTTTTCAGCGGGCGCTTCAGGCAAAGTGGGGTTAAGTGTCTTGCCCAAGGACACAACGACAGCAGATATCAGTGAGAGTCGGAGAAGGTCTCATGGTGAGCTCAAACCCACGACCTTCAGGCTCAAAGGCCAATTCTCTACTAACTGAGCCACTGTCGCCCCTTCAAAATAATGTCTGTTGGCTTAATGTAAGCACTGCATTCATCTTTTTTAAACATATAGCGCCTTTCACAGACCAGAGACACAAAAGCGCCTAACAATTCTTGTGGGCATTTGTCTCTCACTCCACACAGAAATGGAAGCGGGGGTCAAGGGGCACATGCCAGACCGATTGTACATGTTTTAATGTAAATTATTAGTCTGGCTCGAGCTGACCATTAGCCACGCCTACATAAAATTGCTGAAATTTGATGTAGGCCGGTCTGAAGGTCGGCTGGAGCCAGGCTAGTACAACATGTAATGATACAAAAACTGTACCCTGGTCCCTTGCGCCCCCCTGATATTGCTCCTACAAAGGGCCGCTATTGGTCTTTAGAGCAGTGTCTCCCAAAGTGGGGTCCGCGGCCCCCTGGTGGGCCGCGAGGGTACTGCAGGGGGGCCGCGGGAGGTCATAAAAAAATTTTAAAAAATTATATAATTATTTAATGTTAAATTTATAATGTTTTGTTTGTAATATTAAAATATTTGTGTTCATTATTTGACTTGAATAATCCACTGTAATCATTTTTGTATTACAATGTTTGTAGCAGAGGCTATTTCCCCAAAATAAAATAACCAGAAGAGCCTATTCTTAATGTTGTCTTCTTGGTTATTATTTTGGGGGGCCACGCAGACCCGTCAGATTTTTAAGGGGGCCTCGGTGTTACTGAGTTTGGGAATGGCTGCTTTAGAGGAATCATAAACTACTATATTCATGTATACCACTCTATAATGCCCTGTATCTATCTAATTTTCTCTAAAAACTCTAAAAACGTATGTAGTGCACAAAAAAGTAAAAAGCCTCATGCAGATGTTCTAACTAAACTGAAAAAGCAGAGTGCCAGCGTGCCTGCACTTCACACTAGCTCCTTACCGCTCTCCTGTATGGACCGCTGCAGTGCCTCGGCCAGTTCCCGGTCTGCGATCTCCTCTGGACGGTTCTCCTCTCTGCCCTCAGCTCCGTACGCCAGGCGAGCACACTCAGGCAGCTCCGCCTCTACCAGGAAGCGAGTCTCAGTGCCAGTGGTCCCTATTAAGAGCACGTTCTTTTTCAAGTCGATAGAACACTGCAAAAGGGAGATAAATTACTTTTAATATTCAATCTGATCTATTTATCTGTAGACAATCATAAAATACCTGATGTCTCTTCAACATGTCTAATCCCAGCAGCATATCCATTGGCTGATCCTCCAGGATGGAGAAAGAACAAGGCAAAAAGTCTCCCTCAATTTGGACCTGAGCTAATAAGAACAACAAAATTAGTTAGAAACAAACCTGAACATTCCTTGAACATTTTTTGTCAAACATTAATGAGCTATAATCCAGGCTGGTCCGCAGAGGGAAATTGAATATTGAGGATTACATCTCCATGAGAACAGATCACAGTAGGCATCAGGAAACAGGAAACAACCGTAAGAAAAGAGCATATCAATGCGTTTTATGAACAGAATCCAGAGACAGCTGCAGCAAAGCGACTGAGGCTGGAGTGACTTTGGCATCTTTGAAGTGTAGAAGATACAATATAATAGTTTTCTACTGGTCCCCATAACAATTACAACTTAGGCTTTTAAATCATATTTTTTACTACCGAGAAACATTGGTTGAACTCACCCAAATGGACCCTGCCAATAATTTTCTGTGTGCCCACTCCTTTGGCGATGCCAGCCCAGCGCCGGTCCACCAGCCGCATGATGTTACAGCGCTCAGCACAGGCTTGGCTCATGATGGTCATTTGAGCTCCTGGAGTCAAGGACAGTGATTAAGATATTGAAAGAAACATGCATTGGAGAAACTGCAGATGTAGGATTCAATAATTACCCGAGTCAACAAAGGCTTTGACTGGATGTCCATTGACTTTGCAGTTGATGTAAAGCATTACTACTTGACCAAAACTTTCTGGAGCCTCCTCCATGGCAATTGTCATGTTTTCTTCTACATTGCTCTGCCTAATGAAAAGAAAACAAAAGTTCATATGAAGAACCACGTTTTCCATTCCACGTTTAACTTACCTAATATCTTCTTCAATTTTAGCCTGAGCTTCTAAATCAAAGGGATCTGCTGTCAGAAGTCTGATTCTTTCTTGTTCCCTTTTGGCTCGATCTTGCTGTTGCTCCAAAAACACCTTTGTAAATCGTTCTGAAAAAATAAATACATAAATAATAAATATTTATACATATATATATTTATACATATAATGGCTATTGGGTAAAAAGAGGAGCTCAGTATAAAACCAGTTTTATTATTGTTTTAATCAATAATAAAACTGGCAAACTTTATGAGCAAATAGCTCCAACAACTGAACCACAATTAACATACTGTATGCCTGTGATTAGGGGGTAACTATTCAGAAATCTGTTAGATTCAGTTAGTGCGCACCATAACGCAATGCCCTTTTACCCCTATAAAATGTCGTTACATCGGTAGCTTGTGGTATGGTGACATTTGTGGTACAAATCATTGTTATGTGATATAACCGAAAGTATTACACATATGAATCACTCTCACCTAGATCTCCACTGAGCAGGGCCTCTGCTAGAGGAGGGTTTCTCTCTTTCAAGAGGGACAGCTCGTGTGGACTGGATAACAGCATCTGCTGAAGTAAGGCAGGGTCGTCCAGACCCTGAGAGGAAGAGCCGCGTGAGGCCGTAGGTGTGGAAGGCTGTGCACTGGGCTGTGGCTGCTGTGGTGGCCTCACAGGTGGATTACGCTGGTTATTTGAACCTGAGGTGCCCGGGACAGTGATGGAGCGAAAGTCTATACGGGGAAGTCCTATGGGGAGAAACAGCTTGTTTAGTATGCAGCATGTGTATTATTGTTCAAAAGGTATAGATAACTAAATAAATAATTCATACATGTTTACAGTAATTATTGAGGTTCGTAGAATAAGACAGGAAAATGCAAACACGAACAAGGTTTGACAAAAATATAATGACATTTTTAATAATACTTTTTATCTATACTGTACCTTCCAGGAAACCTCAAAAAGCTCAAGAGTAAAAGTGATATATCTCTAAAGATTATAGTCTTAAACCTAATAAACATAAACTTTATTGATCTCACAATGGAGATTTTTTTTTTTTTTTATTTATCCAAAGTGAGATCAATAAAGTTAATCTTATCTTAAAGAAGAATGCATTTAAACCTGGAAATGCTGGTTGTGTTGGTGGTGGCGGTCGTTGCTCTGCTTGTCTGAGCTCCACCACATCTCCATCCTTTACTCCATAATTCCCCAAGGCACGGGTTGGGTCTTTCAGCTGCTGTTCTACATAGACTATCTGAAAATGTAAAAAAAGTAGTAGTTATTTAATTAATCGCAAGTAATTACATACATTACACGAACAGGACTGTCTCCGTAATATTAGTGCAGAAATACAACATCACTGACTTTTTGGCAGTATCCAATCCAATCAACTTTATTTATATAGCACATTTCATAAACACAGTTTCCAAAGTGCTGCATAATAAAAGTACAGTAGGTAGGTAAGTAAACTTTATTTATATAGCGCCTTACACAGACCAGACTCACAAAGAAATTGTTGTGCATTTGTCTCTCACTCCACACTGAGATGGGAGCGGGATTGCCAAAAATGCATGCCAGACCTATTGTACATATTTTAGTGGTAAGGAACTCTATCGCGGCACCGCCAGGGGGAGTAAATCCTTCTTCCTGCAGTTTAAACTTTCCTACTACTTTTGGATATTAAGTTTATGTTTCAAATAAATCAGTACATTGATACTACAAATGTCCAGACTACATACAATTGTCATGTTTTCACGTCGAAAGAAAATCGATCAATATAGTCTGTATCATGCTAGCAGAGGAGCTAAGTAGCCATTAGCTGTGATTAGCTGTGGTTAGCTGTGGTTAGCTGTGGTTAGCTCGGAGGCTCCTCACCTGGATCTCAGACGCGGGGACGCCAGACTCTAACTCACACAGAGCCACAAAGTCTCTGAGCTCCAGCTCCGGAGACACGTCCAGAGAGAAGATGGTCTCTGGACGGTCTCGGGGGGCGCAGAAGACGGTCACCAGCATCGCTCTGACGGGACTCCGCAGAGACACAAGAGACACTGCTCCTTCTGTGAGATACAAAGGAAAGCCAGGGTAATGTTCAGCTTGTATACAATGCATATGTTTATTCTGGTAAAGAATAGAACAATCCAGAAGCCAAGGTTTGCATGGTACTTACTAAGGTGAAGAAACTAGAAAGTATCTGGTTAAAAAAACAAGCAAAACAACATCGGTATCGGTTTCGCATACACAGGCAGAGTCGATTTACGGCATGTCGAGAAACATTGTTCTTTCAGGTTTTGGATGTCAGTGCACGCTACAGCGCCACCTGCTGGAGAACGATAATGGCAGGACCAGTGGAAATCCTATAAACTAATATGGATGTAGCTCGCCTTGAACATTAAATGCTACTTATATTGATGATTGTGGCTCACAGCTTGTAAAACCCCTAAACATTTAATACAATTTGAATATTATGTTTCCTCCCAAAAGCACATAATCTACTTAATATTTCAAGTCGCGTTGGTTTCATGTTTTGAGATTAATTACGGATATTAATCAAATTTAAAAAAGATATTCAACATTTATGAGTTTCACCTGTAATTGACCTTAATGATAGAACATCAATGATAAATCATAATTTTATCTTATTTCATGAATCCTCTTCAATGACTTAAGTTGCTTCAAGTTCCCTGATATTGGCAGGAACTGGGACTTGATGTTGGCAATCCAGAACATCCCAAACCTGCTCAATGAGGGACGAGTCTGTGCAAGAACTGTCAGTATTGAAAATAATATGTGTTTTGCGTTACTAAATAAAATATATATGTTGCTAGGTGAACAGTAAAAAGGATATCTGTCAAATCTTGTCAATAGGTACTTTGGGAAACAAACCCCCTTCCAATTAAAAGTCTTTTGAAATTAAGAATACACTGGCATATAAACATTGATACAAAAAGTCCATGTATGATTTGTGAATGTTGAATAACTGTGTACTATTTCCGAGTTACTGTATCATTGTCCCCAGATACTGATCATTCATCATAAGATTATGTTACAAGAGTCAGAAAAGTTTTCCTTTTTATCAAATTGACAATAAGAATGGCACAATAGAAAAGGTGAAAGAAAGTGTGTTTTTTACTTTTCTGCAGTTCTTGTTTCCAACATTCATTTGCATACTGCGGTGCACTGTGGTTTCACTTGCTCTAGATGTTTCCAGATAAAATGGATGCGAATCAGTCTTATGACAAACATTTGAGTCACTGACAAAAAGCCATTACATCACTCATTAAATATGTATTAGTCTTGAGATTTAATTTGGTTTTAGAATCCCCTGGCTCTGTTCACACAGGACGCATCGGCTGCCTGTGCTTGTTCACTGAAAATGTGGTTTCTCAAATCAATTGTACTGGTTTGGACTGTCTATGCACTAACACAGGCCTCTACTGATTTCAGATGCTCCAAAGGTAAGATCATTTAACCAACAATTTCTGAAACTACTATAACTATGTGCAGTATTAGAGTGTAATTGAGAGAGATTGATCTTAAACTAGAAAGAAGTCAAACGCATGTATTCATCATTCATTGATACTCTAAAGTTGAACTCTGTCCATCACTATAATGTAAATAAGTTATATTATTCTGGTTATGTACAGGTCAAAGGATGATGGTGTCAATATCAAAAGGAACAAAGGCTTGTGATGTTTGCCCATCAGGTACATTCCAGGATGAAGAAACACAATCTCAGTATTGTAAGCCATGTAGAAAATGTTTAAAAAGTATGTCATCAATACCATTTTTGTCTCATGTTGGAATTGCCTCTTTTCATAATTTTCGATGTAATTTGTTTCACTTGAGGCTATGGGAGTGATATTTTGGAGCCGTGCTCAGCAGAAAGAAACACAAAATGCCAATGTCGTGAAAATTTTGAAAGGATAGAAAATGACTCGACTACTTGCAGATGTTCCAGTGGGTTTATTAAGCACTCACAAGGTATGTATGTACGAGCCTGTTATTTTTATTGAGAAATGTATAACCTTAAGTAACAAAGCAAATTTGTGTCAAAACTTTAATATTATACAGAGATGGTGCTGCCGGGTCTTGAGTGACTCACAGGTTTCTTCAGACTTACTTCTTTTAAAATATGAACAGTATGTGTGAGGATAGTCAGTGAAACTAAGAAATATATGATAACACAGAATTAAACGGCACACAAACGGGATTTAGTTCAATATAAGGGCAATATCTATCAGAAGTGGATTTTTATTGAATGAAACAGGCAAGGTCAGACTCCAGTGCTTTGGTATATTTATTGTCCATTGGTTAAAACTAAAACATTTGGGTGTAGCCAACATGGAGCCAGGGCGCGCATCCTCATATGCGTTCCATTCTTTAGACTTTGGTCGATAAGCAATAGTGGTTCTGTCTCAATAATTCATTGTTTTTATTTTGGTACAGTTTCCCCATAGATGCTTTAGGCAAGGAAAGTGTGTAGCACAATTCATAAACAAGAAGGGAAAATTAATATTCAGTAATCAATCATAAAACAACATAACAACGGAATATATTCCCAGTTTATTTATTAATTTAAAGGAAAACATTGAAAAAGTTCCAGTTTTTCAGCTAAAAAGAATTGACGTGTTCATAAGAAGATCTACTGTAAAGCTACAGGAGCCAGTGTTGAGACCTGAGGACTGGACGGATGAGATTTATCCTGATTGTAGTCAGGACTCGATCTTCATCATTTTGATTGTACTGCTATGCTACAAGCCATTGCAGTATCTAACCAACACATACACGCACGGATACAAATCTCCAGGTCTCCTTTAGACACAATATTTTTGATTCTGACCATGTTTTTAGATTGTTATTGATTTGATGTGGCTATTAACATTTAAGTACAAGTCTATTATTACGAGGTTTCAAACTTGATTTCTGGGTTTTAGAGAGAGAAACACCTTAGTTGACAATCATCTCAGTAAGAACAAATCTAATTTACTGATTTCGTAACTATGTTTACAGATTGTGTGAAAAAAGAAACAGGACTAACAAAAGAGACGACCTCTATCCATGTGCATCCCCTCCAGACCTCTGTGACGACTCTCCAGCCAAACGAGGGGCCCTCAACTCAAACCACTGTGCAGGACACCACGATTATAGAAGAGACGACAGGAGAGACAACAAGAGATTCACACACTTCTGAGATTTGTAAAATATCCCATATATATATATATATACACTCTAAACAACATACTCAAATGAAATCATTGAAAGGACTATGATCATCTACAGATACAAAACCTTTATTTCTTGCCACAATGCCACAATGCCATGTTATTGGTATAATCTAACGAGAAGAATGCATGTTTTTAAGCCTTTTGAGAAATAAAAAAAGTGGTTGCTGTGGCAAAGCACTTTATTGCCCCGCATTAATCTGGTGTGAGAATAAATGATTGGTGGTTGAAATGGCGCTTTGTCCATCTGCCAGAATTTACGAAAATCCCAAATAACCCAATATGCATTACATTTTCACCTGCAACTGACTTATACTCATGTAATGTGATGTCTTATTAGTGAAGTTACTACTTTTATTGTTATATTTTCACGTAATGTATTATGCCTTTATTTTATCTTATTTTTATTTTTACTTTCTTTCTTCTTTTCAGTATGGGGCTTTATATGCATGGTCGTTGCATCATTTCTTGTTCTGATGGGTTTGATCTGTAAATATAAAATACTCCCGCGAATGAAGAGGAGACCAAAGCAAAGTATGTACATAAAGTGTGGGATCAAACCTGAAAACTATAAGCACTGAATAATATAAAGGTTTTATTACAGTAAGAGATCCTTCGTTTCGGACCCCAGTAGAGGAAAGTGGAGATGGCAGCAATGATTCACTCAAACAAAACCAAGAAGAACCGTGAGGATGACAACAAATGAGACATTCACAACCTGTGACACTGAAGGAGAAGGAAAAAAAAACATTAATAATGGAATTTTAAATTTCAAGTTAAATTATAGCTTGAAGAGTAGGAGTTTTTTTGCTATTTTGATTTGATAGGGCCATTATTTTTGTGTTAACTACAGAATATTATACTGTATACATCTCAAGTACACATGTATATACTATGAGCAAATACTAATGATTAGTTCAAAAATATATGTGTTTTAATTAGGGCTGGGACTCGATTAAAAAAATTAATCTAATTAATTAGAGGCTTTGTAATTAATTAATCTCGATGAATCGCATTTTAATCGCATATAAATATTTGTCCTGAGAACAGTGAGAAGTAATTTTTTTCACATGGATTTTTAGTTTACCATTGAATAATGACTGCATACTGAATACATAAGCTTAAGCAACACATGTTCATTGTGGAGGATCAGACGGACTTCTTTCCATCAAATAACGTTTCTGTCATCGCCTCCACACACGCTGTCCACAACATACACTTCTTAAGCCCAAAATCCACTGCATTCGAAGTGAGCACAAAAGCTTATAATACGTTTTTGATGTGTGCATTCGAACTAAGTTACTAAAACATCAGCAAATAGCAGCTCACACACCTGTGTCTCGCTGCTCCTCCTCCGCTCACAAGAGTTACTGCTCCTTCTCCTCCTCACACACCTTTGCTCCACACAGAGCGCTCTTTCCTGCCTCTAACTCACTCAGAGTGAGAGTCTATGCTTGTTATAATCATAGACTGTATATATTAATTGTTATAATGTACTTTTGAACAAGAAAAGTCACGGAGCTCAGGTGGCGCTCCAGTATAATCGGTCTGTCTGAAACTCATTCGTGAGGAACGTTCCGCGGTGGAAAATACACATGCGATTAAAATGCGTCAATTTTTTTTAACACGCTAATTTTGTGGCGTTAATTAATCGTAATTAACGCGTTAAAGTCCCGGCCCTAGTTTTAATACTATTTTTGTTCTATTTTGGGGCATTTCTCTTATGTTTGTTTACGTAAATTGCATGTTTTTGTATCGCTGCTTTTTATTAAAATTTAGGAAACTGAATTTCTTTTGGAGAATTATTTTAACACTTTTTCTTTTATATGAAGCGTTTGCTTCATCCAAATGGGGGCAGTGGCTCAGTTGGTAGAGCATTTGCAATTGAGCCTGAAGATCGTGGGTTTGAGCCCACCATAAGACCTACTTCACGACTCCCACTGAAGACTGCTGTCGTTGTGTCCTTGGGCAAGACACTTAACCCCACTTTGCCCGAAGCCCCCACTGAAAGATCTCTGCTCCTGTGGACTCACCACCTGCAGGAGGATCAGTGAGGGGCTGGTGCTATGTGTACTGGGTGCAGCTCTGACTGTCACCTCCCGACCCAGAAATGGATTAAGGGGAAGAAAATGGATGGATGGATGGTTCATCCAACCCATTTTCAAACCAGGTACATGTTTATTTGTCTGTTATATTGATATATGTAAAAAAGTAAGCATTCTGCAGGTTGTAAATAAATAAAAATTTAATATAAATACTGGCTGCATTCATTTGTTCAAACCTGGAACTACCCCCTCTAATAAAAGAACAATAATTCACAAACTAGGAATTTGCTTTGTACATGGTGAAAACAAGTAATCCAATAGTCAAAAATAAATATTATAGGGATTGTCTTGTGTGTCTGATGAAAACATGTTCAGGGATTTCCCCTTAAAGGTAATATTTGTGCACACACACACTTCCTGATGCTCTCATTTGGAAACTGACGTCAAGAGCGTAGAGTTTCACAAAAGGCTGTCACAGATTTTCCCCTTGAAGGTCCCTGTCCCTTTTTTATGAGTATGAAATGTTATGTAATTTATTAGATATCATGTAGATAAAGATTTCTGCATTTGTTGAACAAAATTAATTGGGAAGTGGGAACTTACTGCCACAATCTGGTGCAACATCAAACAAAAATACATGAAAAATATATAATTACAACATAAAAGAATTGTATTTATGTTGGTTGGACAGAACAGTACGTGCTAAGTTGTGAATGAATGAGGCTTCATTGAATGAAGCCTCCAGAAAGACATATTTTCTTCTTTCTGTTGTTAAAACCTATCGTCCCTGGACTAAATCTAATTCTTTTATTTTTAGGCTTTATCTAATATGGGAAATGTTACACATCGTATGCTCATTTTCTCAGAAAATACACTTTCACTTTACTCTGAACATTGAAGCCAATCATTTTTTTAATTTTTTTTTTATCTAGGAAAGTCCAATTAAGATGGATCTCTTTTTCATGGGAGTCCTGGCCCCACAGAGAAAGGGGCAGGGAGGGTGTTGTGGGGGACCATTGTACATGGAACCCTATGTAAACACAGGGAGAACACGCAAACTCCAGGCAGAAAGACCCCATCTCGAGGTGGAGTCTCAAGATGAAAAAAGACAGGATGAGACAAGAGAACGTTTATTTGTGGGAAAATGTTGGTGTTGCAATGCACAGTAAAGTAAGTAAGAGCACACAGATAGCACACAAAATATACATGGAGTAATAAATATGTAGAAATATAGATGTAATGGGAATTAGCAACAAAGTGACAGAATATATAGAAGTGACAAGTAGTAGTTGTAGTACTACATTGCACATTCCAACGTTGCAGAATTGTACATGATTGCAGTATTTACTAGTTACACATGAATGGTAAGTTGGAGTTTGGAGGTCGGTCGGCCTCAAAGAGATTCTGGGAAACCGTCCGGCACCTCAGGAGGAGGAAGCAGTTCTTTACCAACACCATGTACGGTGCGGGTGGAGAGCTGCAGACGTCCATTGGGGACAATGTCGGGCGGTGGAAGGAATACTTCGAGGTTCTACTCAATCCTCCCGTCACGTCCTCCGTTCCGGAGGCAGAGGCTGAGGATGTTGGGGCGGATACTTCCATCTCCCTGGCTGAGGTCACCAAGGTGGTTGGCAGCCTCCATGGTGACAAGGCGCCGGGAGTGGATGAGATCCGTCCTGACTATCTAAAGTCTCTGGATGTTGTAAGACTATCTTGGCTGACACATCACGCATCGTTGTAGAGACGTGGCGATGTTGCAAGGAGTGGTCAGGAGGAGCAGTGGTGGCTGAGTGGATAGCACTCTCGCTTCTCAGCAAGAAGGTCCTGGGTTCGAATCCCGGTTTGAACAGGGCCTTTCTGAGTGGAGTTTGCATGTTCTCCCCGTGTCTGCGTAGGGTTCCTCCGGGTACTCCGGTTTCCTCTACCACTAAAAACATGTACAATCCATCTGACTTTCCTCAAGTGTCTGTACTCTCCATCGGACACTTGAGGAACCCCCCTATCCACATGTGCTTTATGGATTTGGAGAAGGCGTTTCACCATGTTCCCCAGGGTGTCCTTTGGGGGGTTCCTCTACTGAGGGCCGTCTGGTCCTTGTATGACCAAAGCTAAAGCTGCGTTCGCATTTCCAGCAGTACGTCAGACCTGGTCCCAGCCCCGGCACCTTTGTCACCGATTCTGTTCACTATCTTTATGGACCGAATTTCTAGGCGCAGCCAGGGGCTGGAGGGGGTCCGGTTCGGAGACCACAGGATTCCATCTCTGCTGTTTGTGGACGATGTTGTGCTGTTGGCTCCAACAAACCAGGACCTGCAACATGCACTGGGACGGTTTGCAGCCAAGTGTGAAACGGCTGGGATGAGAATCAGCACCTCCAAATTTGGTGCTCTCAATTTACCGGTCAATCTTTGTTCCCTCCCTCACTTATGGTCATGAGCTTTGGGTAATGCCCTAAAGAATGAAATCGCGGGTAGAAGCGGTCGAAATGAGCTTCATCCGCAGAGTGGCTGGGTGCTCGCTTAGAGATAGGGATTATTAGGTGCAGAATATTGCATCAAAATGCAACAATTTTGTACACATTGAAGTATAGAATAAATATATATTTGAAATATGGGTTACAGATACACATTTAACATTTTTTGTAATATCAAATGAGCACATTTTGTACCCTCATTATAATCAAGTAGATAACTTCAAACTACATATTTTGAGATGACATTCTTACAATGTAAAAAAAGCAATATAATTATTGAGAATTTCAGCCAAACAACTAAAAAAATGTGGTTATTTAATAGCTGTGGGGATAAGAGGTCCCCCCCAGTGTCATCATCTTCCCACATAACCACAGCACACTCACAGTATGTGGGGCGGGTAGAATTCAGAGGTTCAGCCTTTTGCAGTCACACTTCAACCTCTGACGTGACGAGAGTGTGACGCCACTGCCATATTCATCAGGGATTGGTAAACTTTTAAGGTAAAGGTTATGAAATAAATTCAAGCACAGAGAAAAACGTCACAAGGGACAAACCTAGAAGCCTAAAAGTACAGAGGTCATATCTAGGCAAGGCAAGCCAACGCAAGTTTATTTTACAGCACAGTTCATGCACAAGGCAACTAAAAAATGCTGAACAAAACAAGATTGCATTAAAATCATAAATAATCACAGTACATTAAAAATATTAAATCCCTCAGTTGTATGCACAGCTAAACAGAGCTGTTTTTGAACTTGCATTTAAACGTTGTCAGAGAAGAGGCCTGTCTCACATCTGTTCCAGATTGTTCCAGATTTTCTGCATGAATTGAAATGCAGCCACTCCATGGCTAGTTCTGACTCTGGGGACCAGCAGGAGTCCCGTCCCTGTGCTCCTCAGAGTCTGGGCCGGTTCATATGGCACTAACATGTCACTAATGTACTTTGGTGCGAGCCCATGGAGAGACTTGTGACAAGCAGAGCTGTTGTTAAGTCTGAGCCACAGGAAGCCAATGCAATGACCTAAGGACCTCCAGTTCATATTTGTGCAATTTACCCTCTATATGATAAGAATCATTCATAATTTCAATCAGCATCATAATTTAGCAGGTTGTTCAAAAGGATTTTTGGGGTCACTATTTATATGTATATGTAGATATATATAGTAATGGCCATAATGATTATCTATTGGTAACTTACACTAATCCAGGGTCTTGTAGGCACCCCACCAAGAACACCTCCCCAGACAGGTATCTAAAACAGAGGCTGTGGATGAGCAGCAGATCTACTCCATGCTCCTTCGTGATTTGTCCATTTGACCATTATTCAAAGCTCTAATGTCATGTCTGACTGGTTAATTGTGAGTGTTACAAACTCTTAAATGAAATACATTCTAAATACCTTTGCAATGAATTAGGTTCTAAATACCTTTGCAAAAATTAGGAAGTGGGAGTTAAGCCTTTACCGTAAGGCCGTCACAAGCAATAGACATAGATGCATTATGAGATAAGGTATAATCCCTGCTGAGGCAGGGTCGTTAGACCTGCTCCCTTCTACATCAAACAGACCTTAGATTGTTTATGAGTTAGTATCGGGATTAGGGTGTGGCTAACCACACCCATAGGTTATAAATCTCCAACGCGCGGTCTGATAATTCATTCCCTGAAGAAGTCCTCTGGATTGAGGACGAAACGTCGGGAAAACTTGCTAAGAAGTACAGATGATGGGTGAGAAACCTTCCTTTTCCATTTCAATAAAAAGCTATAGAAAAACCATCATGATCAAATGTACTCAACATTTTGATCAAATCTCATATTTTGTGTTGATAGGGGGCAGATATTTTAAGTTTTTACTTCTTTCTGCTCCTTTTCATTCATAGTAAATGCTGTTGTTGCATTTGTTCTTAAATGAATGAAAAAATAAAAATAAAAAATAAAAAATGAAAATCTCATTATGCATCTATGTTTATTGCTTGTGACGGCCTTACGGTAAAGGCTTAACTCCCACTTCCTAATTTTAGTTTTTGGTCTAAACCACAGTGCTTCAGTTGCACGTCACAAACAGCAAAGATAAAAACTGTGAGAGGCGAGTTGTTGTGTGTCTGTCACAATGAAACACTTGTACTTATGCCTCCAGCTCCTCTGCACACTGGGAGTAAATGGATTCATCATCTGTAAAGATCAACAGCTGGAAATGAGTGGAAAATGCTGCGACAAGTGCCCTGCAGGTAACTGATTCAATCAAAGGAAAATAGCTAATTCTAGATGTTATGTTTGTTCAATTGTTTTATTAATTGATAAACCGGCATTGTTGCACTTCTAGAAGAAATAAAATCAGTGTGTCATTTTGAGTCATTGTAGACATATCTCATTTTGCAATATGGCTAAGAGATCATCAGAGTTTCAAAGAGATTCTTACTGCATTAAAACAAGAATATATCCAAAATATGAATAACATTTAACTTTTTGCCACTAAAGTTTTCTTTTCTTATAAAAAATATGGCCTGCAAGGACAATATACCAGATTAAGCCAAATCTCAATTGTTTTTTTATAATTAAAGTAATCAAACTTACTCCCTGAAATAAGTTTGTTCCAGGTCATTTAATGGACAATGCATTAATTGAATAATAATAATAATAATAGTAACCATGGTCTTGGCTTTAAGAGCTTGTTTCAATGCAGCTGTCATAACCACTGCCAACTCAAACTGACCAGATCTCTTCAGAGTGACGCTTACAAAATAGGTGATTTCATTTACTTTATTTAGCAAGGACAATGCAGTCGTACATTTCTGAAAAAGATGCCACGGTACAGAGTGTATAGTTAACACTGATTTTCAACTCCTGTCCTTGGTTGCGCTTTTCCCTATCGCACAGACTGGAGGAGGGATTCGCACATCAATACCAACCGATCGTACAGACAGAATAAACACATTTTGGAAAACCCTATCTTAAACACACAAATACAGCAACAAAAGTGATCTAACATTTCTACATACATGACAAGATACAAGCGCACAAATAAACACACATGCAGAGAGTTGCACACAATTACACAATCCAATACATTTTTAATTGGTTTGTTTTATGCCACAACGTGAGTCTAAATGTGTGCAACTGAAACCCTTATATTCACTTCAGGTCAGTGGGCAGTTAGTTCCACAGTTTGGTGTTTGTGTTAGAGAAAGCAGACAGACCAAATGTGTGTTATATCTAAATCTATCAAATTTGGAAACACTGTTGTGGATTACATCGGCGTATATAACATCATCAAATTTCCTAGTCATTTCTTTTACAGATTCCACAAATTGAAAATAAAAATAAATGGCGGCATGCTTAAAAATACTTACTTTTTTGATGATAAGTCAAGTTGTTTAAGTGTTTCTGAATATCAATGAAAATTCCCTGTTAAATATAGGTAAACAAAAAGGAAGGGTTTCATTTTACTTTAAAATAGTATCCATCCATCCATCCATCCATTTTCTTCACCTTAATCCATTTCTGGGTCGGGGGGGTGGCAGTCAGAGCTGCACCCAGTACACAGCGGAGCGAAGAAAAACAGTATATGTACAATAAATGTAGGCTAATATAATATTGCAACATGAAAAGCAATTATGTATTAATCGACCAAACTGTTTTGATGAGTGAAGTAGATCCTATTGCATTTTGATTTGTTGGAGCGTCATCTTAATTCATTAACTGATCATGCAAATTATAATGTGCTTATTTTCTGTAGGTGAATATATGGAACAGCCCTGCTCTGATACACACCAAACCAGCTGTAAGCCCTGTCCGTCAGGCTTCTTCTCAGACCAGCCCAGTTTTTTTGACCGATGTGAAGAGTGTCGTTCCTGTAAACAAGGTAACACAGTTAGTATTCTAGTCTTTGTTTAACAGAAGAAAGTTTACCAAGAAACAGAAAAGTTGTTTAACAAGAAAGTGTGTGGTTTGCATTGTGTCTACAGAGTACTCTCGCGTATGTACCCCCACCACAGACGCTGAATGTTCATGTGGCTCTGGCTTCCTGTGCTCTGACGATATGTGCTCTACTTGTGAGAAAGGAAACAGTTTTGGAAGTGAAAAACTACAACCAACAGGTAGGGTTTTTCATTCCAAAACCTGTATAAGTTTGTCATGTATATGTCATGTATATGTCCCCCCCCCCCCCCCCCCCCCCCCCCCCCCACACAAAAAAAAAAAAACACTATTGTAATTTGAACAATAATTGCATCTATATTGTTTGTGCTTAATAGTAAATACAGCTGTTGGTGTTGCTGCCAAAAACCTGACTGAAAACAGTAAAAAGGCGTCTCAATGTCAGAATCATGAATACTTTGATAAGAAGAAACTCTTCTGCATCCCAATAACACAGTAAGATTTTCTCTAGTTAGTCGGCCAATTCACAAACCTCTAAAGTAGGTTACTCACTCTATACCTGCCAACAGGTGCAGTGCCCACAACCTCATTGAAATATTCGCTGGTAACAAAACCCACAATGCGATATGCCAGTCACAAGGTGAGTATCTTAACCTAGAAATATTGCTCATGCTAAATGTCATGATGCTAAATATTTCCTTATCTTTTTGTTTTTTTGTTCTTGCTTTTCCAGAGATACAGAATATATATATTGTTGTGTTCACTGGATTTGCAATGCTCCTTGTTGCCATTTTGGTGGTTTTATCTTATCACTTGATGAAGAAAATAAAAAAGATCAAAGATTGTGAGTATTTTTAACACTTTAACATGCGTATATGTTAAATATAAGTGTCTTACTCTCTATGTGTATGCCTAGTAAATCCCCAAAGCCCCCAAAAGTCTGGAACCAGATATGATAGCCACTTTGTCTCATTTGTCATGTAACAATAAGACATTGAGAATTCTGTCCCATGTGTCCCTCCCCTGGGACCTGGGGCATGCCTGGAACACCTGTCCATGAGCATTCATTTGCTTTGAGTCATTACCCAATGGTCAGACTCAAGACCATTTAGGTAATGTGGAAATGAAGATATACCTGGAAATTGAGAACGCTGTTTGCTTGTAATTTGATGGTGGTGGTTTGATCAAGCAGGCAGGACAACCTAATATGGAACAGAAGATATGAGATCCTAACCGAACATCTTTCAGCCCCCACTGCGCATGAGTATTCTGATCATATATGGTGTCCCTAGAGGAGGCCGACAGGCACTAGAAAAAGGTCTGACTCCTGTCATCCAGGGACCGAAAAGTCATCTGAAAAAGGGCCCGAACGCCATGCTCCTGGAGAAACCCCCAAAGGACAGTCTGGCGTGTCTTTCCCAGATCCTCAAAACACATGTGGACAGGTCTAGCTAACTCCAATAATTTAGTTTCTTCATATTTAATTGTGTTTTCTTATTTGTTGTGGTTTATATTTGTAATGTATTAATTGCTTCTTGTTCTTAGCTAAAGCCACCATGGTCACCACTGATGAGAACTTACCACTGCCAATGGAGGAAACATCATTCCCTGAAAACAATGTGGAACATTTTGGATAAACAAGCACATTTGCTGTTCTGTTCAAGAAAATCTGTAAGAGGACAAGCGGCGCGGGAAGACGTTACCCTTTGGAAATAATGTTTGCTTGCCTCATGATGAGCCACTGTTGGTCAATACCATCTCTTCGCTGCTTAGCTGAAACATGCCCTATGCACAATTGTAATTTTTTACTTGACATGATCATTTATCTGGTTTATTTGGTCTAGTTATTTCAATTGTGTGTAAGAATTTAATTGGTTTTATGGCAAGTATAAACAGTGAGCTTGTGGTTCCAAAGCTGTGGCAATGCGGACAGTGTGATGAAAAGAGATGGTGCAAATCTGTATATGACAGTATTATGACAGTATTATGACAGTATTATGGCAGTATTATGGCAGTATCTGTGTTCAAATTGGGTGATGTAGTACACAAATGAATAAGAACACAATTTAACAGCGAGCCACCTGCTGGAGTCTCAGGTATGATCTACAATATGATTATCATTGACAAGCTTTGTGATGAAGAATTCATTCTCTGATACTTGCCCTGGTTGTACCGCCAGCGGAGAGAAATGAGACCGAGCATGCTCTCAGGCTTTACGGTCATGTCTGATGTACATATTGTAAATTGTTGAGAGTTTAAACTTTGTATTGTTTGTATTGAACCAGTTGAGGTTGTTTAAGCATCTGTTTTGGATTCCTCAACGATGCCTCTTTGGGAAGGTGTTCCAGGGATGGTCTACCGGGTGGAGACCCTGGGAAAGGCCCAGAACACGTTGAAGGACGATGTCTCTCAGCTGGCCTGGGAACGCCTTCTTCCAAATGAGCTGGAGTAAGTGTGTCTGGAGAAAGAAGTCTGAGCCTCTGTGCTTGTGTATTGTGAATGTGTGAATACTTTTCTAATTATCATATTATTATTTCAGTTTTTGTAATAATTTGTCCTAAGAGGTTCATGTTGTGACAAGCATGTTCCTTAATGTAAAGGAGACTTCTCTGTGCTCTGGACACTTAAGAGTACATTATATTAATTACAGTAATTTATCTGATGGTAGTGCAAGATTGTAACCATGCATCAACAGCCCTGTTCTGACACGTTATCTTTTACATTCTACTAATCGGTAATTATTATTGCTCAATGGAAAGTCGAGTTTAAACATGTTAAAAGGACTATCTGTGCCCCTGAATTAAACATAATGTTGACACGTTTTATTCTACTTGAAATGTACCATCTAATATTTAAAATATATAAATGTATATAATTATGAATATGAATATGTATCAAATGTTCGCGTTATAATTATTCCATGGTCAACAGTGACAGTTCCAGCTGCAGTTCCCTGATCGGCCGGTGTGTTTGCTGCATGACACATGCACAAACTGATCATATGACCACTGTCCCACACTTCCTTCTCTTCGCTTCTCCGCTGGAGAAAAACGCTGAAAAACGCCACATCTGAGCGCTCCTGACCGGGCTAAAGACACATAACAAGAAGAGGCAAAGAGTGAGCAACGACCACAAGATGCTGGCGCTAATAAACCGGCTTTTGGACTGGTTCAAGTCGTTGTTTTGGAAAGAGGAGATGGAGCTGACGCTGGTTGGCCTACAATACTCTGGGAAAACAACATTTGTAAACGTGATTGCTGTAAGTGTCTAGCCGCTAGCCACCTTGCTAAATGCTAATGCCTCTAGCTCATAGTGACAAACAAGAATAAGACTAGATCATGCGTTTTCAGCTTTGTTTTTATTAAACAGTTATAGCTGAACAAGGTTTTCACGGAATAGAACCATGTGTAATCTTGTTTGATGGTTTGTATTACAGGCATGATTATGATGTTATGACTGGGACAGCATGCTAACCTTGTTAGCATTATAGCATAGCACCATTTACTCAATTCTAAAGCCATGTATTCTACTGTACTAGCATGGAAATGAGCCAAGATAGCAATTGCAATGTCTGGACCTTCTTTTCTTATGTATGTCGCCGGGTAAATTAACGAATTAGTTTTACATAATGCGCACAGGTACTTTATATTAGTTATATTCTAACACTTGCTTATCTGATTTTGCGACGGCTGTGGTTATTTCCTTCCATCCGCTACACCCTGGTTGTGGTTGGCCAGAGATGACTCAAAATGTTTGCAATAGTCATTTGCACTTGTACCCTGGCTCCTTGCAGCATAATCTTTCTGTTATGAAGTAATAGTTAAAATGGCAAACTACATTCAGACACATTTTATTGTATATCGTTTCTCACATATCTTACTTTTGTCACACAACCTATGCTATGATCAAATTAATAAACAGCTAAATGCTGATCCGTATAGGTTTACTTTGCAAGTAACTGGCTTTGGGAGGTTAAATGCTGTTATCAGTCTCTTCATTGGTATCAGCTCACAAATCAGCAGATATCAAGTATGTCATAAATCAAATGAATAATTCATTAAAACCTAACTAGTTACTTGTTAGATAAAAAAAATGACCAATTAAAAATTAATATTGACCAATTTTATAACTATGGAACACCTATGTATGAGTAAGTTACATTTCATGGCGTTCTGGGTTAATATGAGCCTAAATAGTCTCATTACATTATAAAACACTTTTCAATATCAGCACTAATATCTGATTCTGGTGCGTTCCTAGATGGACAATTGTTTTCAATTTATTGCCAAACTAATTGGTTCAAAATGTTTAGGCACTATATAGTAAAAAGGGTAATAGTGTCCACTTGCTGCTATTATCATTTATTATTGATATATTGGCCATTTATTACTAAATACTGTATTAGTTATATGTTGTATAAAGTGCAGAGAATGAAACATGTGAGAAGTGACTGTTTCCGATACATTTTAAGTCCTGGTAATTCCTCACTAACCAGTTGTACAGCTTCACCCCTGTTCATGTGGCTGGTGTTGACCGAGTCGTAGCAGCCGATGGTGGTTCCTCTACTTCCTTTCAGTCATAAGACAACTGCACTCATTTCCACTTAGCTTCGTCAGGTGACTGTAGTCATGTGTTGCCTGAGTGTATGTAATGTAAGCCACAGAAAAGCGCTGCTACTCAGGTTTGACAGGATGAAGCAGTGATTTGAATTTTCTAGAAATGACTAGAGTTGTCAAATCAGTTTACGGTAGAAAGTGTTGGAGGAAAAACCCAAGTATGGAAGCAACACAATCTCACTTAATTCATAATAGTTGTGATAATAAATTTGTGTTTTAGTCGGGGCATTTCAGTGAAGACATGATCCCAACTGTTGGCTTTAACATGAGAAAAGTCTCCAAAGGAAATGTCACCATCAAGGTACGATATCTTTTTACTAGATTACTTATTTTGTGCAAGTCGAGCCAGGCTGCAGTTTTTGGGCCCAACATAATCTCTATTGTGTTTTTGTGTACGTAAATAATCTTTTTTTTCAGATCTGGGATATAGGAGGGCAGCCCAGATTTAGGAGCATGTGGGAACGGTACTGTCGGGGTGTCAATGCAATTGTGTAAGTTTCATTGTTTGATAAACTATGCTCATAACAAACTATGCCCCACATAGCGTAAAGAGTGCATGTTTCAAACAAAAAAGTACTTTGCTTTTACAGTGGTCCCTCATTTATCGTTAGGCTTATGTTCTAATAATATAGATAAGTGAAATCTGCAATGTAGCAGCGACATGTTTTAAGGTTGTAAACTCACCACACACTTTATACAAATTTCTTACCACCTGAACTTGCAAGTGTGATCGATCAGAAGACACCGGGCTGAGGGTGACACGCAGTATTCCTCTGAACCAATCCTAGCGGTGCACAAATGTTTTCATGTGACTTTAAAAACCGGTAACTGTCATGTTATAGTTCCGGTTATATGATTATGTATATGATGTTGTTGGAGTCAATGTGCTGTGCATGAAACATGCTGTAAAAAAAATTACCAAAACAAAAAAATCTGCGAAACGGTGAGGCCACAAAAGGTGAACTGCGTTATTGCGAGGGACCACTGCATCTGCAACATTGATGCAGTTTCTCAAAATTTTGAGATTTCTGAATTGTTTTACATGGTTTCAAATTGTATGTTTTTATTTTTAGGTACATGGTTGATGCAGCGGACAGAGAAAAGGTCGAGGCGTCACGAAATGAACTTCATAATTTATTAGACAAACCTCAACTTCAAGGAATTCCTGTGAGTTTACAACAGAACAGAAGTTGTAATTCAAGTTGTGTTTTGAATTGCGGTTTATTGTTTTGTTGTTTGCTTTTTCACTATTATTTAAAGGTATTGGTTCTCGGCAACAAAAGGGATCTTCCAAATGCTTTAGATGAAAAGCAGCTTATTGAAAAGATGTGAGTATAAACAACCGTAGCTTAATCTGTTACATCTAACACTATTTCATAAAACTATTTCTTGACTTTAAGCCGCAATATGTTACTTGTTGAACACATAACTATTGTAATATAAGGTTAAAAACTATACTGTGGTGCATTCTCCTTTGAGAAAGTTGTATGCTAAACCATGAAAGTGAAAAGCCAACAATTCCATGGAAATAAGATTGATTGATAAGATGGATTTTATTGATCCCACACTGAAGACATTTGGCATAGATAGTCACTCAGATTGTGCAAAAAGACAGATGAGTGCAACCATGTTTAAGTTGGAAATATGGTCTGGGCAGGATATAATTGTGTAGAATAAGAAGAATGGCAATAGCAGTGCACGTTTTTCAGTCCTAGTGAATTAGTGTAGCCAGTCCTTCCCAATCCGGTTGTCAATACTCACAAGTTGCATCCTCAGAATCTCAGGAGGTTTCAGATTTATTTTGGGAATCTCAGAAGGATTCAGAGTGATTGCTTTTGTGTTGTCACATTACTAACATGCCATACTCCTTTACAATACAGAAAACATATTATATTATTTTTATGTGATGAGACTGAACAAAAAGCATTGTTACAAGTTACCGATGTTCACATATAGCTAACAGCTAATTTGCAGACCGCATATGAGGCACCATTTTCTAAACCATTAAATTAACCTTATGTAACACTAATTAAAATTATATAGTATTAGGAATATTTATTGCAATAGTGGTAAATATGACTAACAGAAAACCTAAATTTGGTATGGGAGCTTGTGGGAATGAAGACATGGAGAGAAGTATAAATTATCACTTGTATTGAAAAAATGTTGTAGACAGATACAAAAATAAGACCTTTGTACATAAAAAAGACAGGAAGCAAACAGACCAATAAAAGGGAAAAAATTGACACAAAACAAAAAACACTTTTTAAACCGTTATGTTTTGAGTTCAGTTCAGCTTTTGCTTTGAAGGCAAAGTTCAGTTTAATTTTTAGTTTTTAGTACTTCGTTTGAAGTACTCAGTTCGAAGAAACAGTTCAATGAAATTTTAATGTGTTTGAAAGAAGAAAAAACAATAATCCAAAATAAGGGTGTCCTCTTGTGCAGGCAAAATGTTGGGGAAAAAATATAGAAAGGTCCTACCAGTTTGTAGGTTCGTTTTGGGCTCAGCTCGTCACCTGGTTACTAGGAATGTTCAAGGTTCAGGGGGAAGAGAAAAAAAACCTGACCGTTGAGTTTGAGAATTTTCTGTTCAGTTTTCAAGTAGTTCTGTTGGAGTTCTTGTAGTGCTCAGCCGCAGTTCTGTTAACAGGAAGTGGGCTACCGGCGACCTGGGGCGCGGCCATTTTGACTGTAGCGCCACTGGCGGCGGGCCAATGAATGGGTTGCTGGGGTTTTTCAATGGGGCCAGAGACGTGGATTACACTTACTTGTGTAAAATATAGTATTATATTATTGTATGTATTATTTTTCAATTATATAATAAGAACCTATTGTTGCGATAACAACTCTGACGCATTTTATTATTATTTGGTATTGATGAATATTCTTTATTTAACAAATATACTTTATTGTACTAATTGTATTTCCATCTCACAGCTTGGATCAAATGTCCACTGCTGATCTGGAAAAGATAACACTGTGAGACTCTCAGGTCTCTGACCAATCACCAGTGAAACCTATAATGACGAGAAGTACTTTTTGTGTCGGTTCTGAAGTGAAAAAAACTAATAAACAATAGTTTTGTATTTTAAGTTTAGATTATTTAGTCTTTATTTTTCGTTGAACAGTTTTAAAAATTGGAGAGTTTGAAGGATAGTTTTAGGCCTCACTTTAATTTACCTTACAACACATTCTTGTTGATCTAAAATGGACCAAAAATATTGCCTTTTATGTTTTTCCTTAAGAATATAATGAGTAATATTTTTGGACTTTTTTTGTAGGAATTTGTCAGCTATTCAAGACCGGGAGATTTGCTGCTATTCAATTTCCTGCAAAGAAAAAGACAACATAGGTAAGTTGAATATACTGACTCACTTTTCCTTAAAGTCTACTCATTTATCCTAATGCATGTATTTTTTCTTTTCCAAATAGATATTACTCTTCAGTGGCTCATCCAGCACTCAAAATCCAGAAGGAGCTGAAAACCCTAACCCCCCCTTTTATTTTTCTGTCAACCCACATTTATCACTCACTGCAATTATGTACAGTCATGTTTCCAAAACCATGTGCTGCATAGTTATTTTTGCCATTTACATTTTCTATTACAGCTTAGTATTTTTTTTTTTTTTCAACATGGCCCGAGATTGCATTACTGAAGGTAAAACAGTGTTTTGTGAGTGGCATTGTAACATACTGTAAAATTATGAATGATGCTTGAAGGGCTAACCAGAGGTTGGGGGCGTCCCCAAGGGGCACAAGACACTTCGATGGGGGAGGGGGTTAGATGACATAATTCAATTACTCAGTGAAATAAACAAAACTACACTAGATTTAGCATGTTTTCATATTTCAAATTATTACTATCACTGTTACGAATTAAATTCAGCAGTGGTTAGGGTTTCACAAATGTTGAAATATGAAAATGTGTTTATAAACTATTTTTAATCAAACCCTCTGAATATGTTCTTGAGTGGCATCACTTGAGCGTTGTTTAGGTCAAATGTGGAAGAAAATCCTGTATTCACTGACCTTTTGTGGTCTAAACAACTAATTGATTAATACAAATAATAATCGCCCAATAATAGATTTATGAAAATACTTCATTACCACCCCAGCTGCAAGTTGATTTCACATTTTAATTTTGGGAACGATGAGAAGATTACAAACCTCTGGTTTAGTCCTTTCCTAGTTGATTAAATGTGATGTTTGACACTAAAGGTACTGAAAATCATGAATCGAGAAGGCCTGTCTTTCACTTTCTGCAAACAGCTAATGCCAACAAATGTCATAAATTATGTAGAAATGTTATTCCCTTTGACTTAAACGCGGTTGTTGTAATTTTAGATGACTGCAAAAGGTCAGTTTATGCAGATTGTACAAAAATACAGCTAGTATGATTTTTACTGATGTGTGTGAATATACTGTATGAAACTATTTAAAAGTCTGAATGTACTAGTGCTACAAGTAGGCTGTATTGCAATGGACAGTTGGTTTATGTAAAGATGTCTTTTGTGCTGCCTCTGAGCTTGAAGAGTGGCAGAATATGAAGTGCCTTGTGCGATGTATCTCACCTCTTGAAGCAAAGGGGCCTTCCGTCTGGGCTATGTCTTTCACCAACTCAATATATACGAGAATTAAAGGCAAATGTTTTAATTTAGTCATTTCTGTGTTGTGCTTTGTTCAACAGTCAGTTTGACCCTTTTTTAAATACTGAGAGTAATATCTTATGCTTACGATGCTACACAGGCATTCAAATAAGAGATATAGCAAATGGATCCAGTAATCATAAAATGCTTTCCACTGATTTTCAGTTGTATCGTACTTAGGATTTGACTACAAATGCTACAAATTGTATCCCAGCTTGGATTTTGTTTAAACATTTCAAGTTTTGTGTTCGAGGCTTTTGGATGCATAGTGTGATGTCATAAAGTAAAGATTTCTGCACTTCATGTAAATGTCAACAAAATATTGCGGATTGAATTGTGCTAATATATAATTTTAGTTTAGAACCAGCGCCATATAACCAAACGCTCAAATACACTGTTTTATAATTATCAGTAACCAATAAGACGTTCTATGTGTTTCTATTTATCTACATTGACATTGACGTTGGCATAGTAGACTGAGGTATGAAGAATCAGCTTTTCAGTGTAGCGTCTTTGTGGCTGCTCCAGATTGGTGGACGAGTTCAATGGATTTGTAAGACACGTCAGGTAAAAAATTACAATGAAGTGATTGACAGCTCATTATCCAATGGCTGCGCACGTTTTAGCGTCGCTCAACTACTGTGGTCCAATCAGCATTCAGTTTAGAGTGGGGCTGATTTGTTGACAGGAAGAGAGTCAAGAGGAACCGCTTTTACCCGAACAGTGAACCAAGTCTCATCTAATCATACATCTAAGAGATTATTTCACCCTCAAAGGCTCACCTTGAGTGCGGAGGAATGCGCGTCCAGATCGTCTCGAGGCAAAGATGCAATGGAGGTCGTTAGTTGTGGGGCTGGTGGTTCTGAGACTCTCTCTCAGCTGTTTGCTGTGGCTGGTGTTTGGACTGGGACCAAGTGTCAGCTTTGGATTTAACTTTCATCTAGGTTTCAATTTGCACAAACTTGACTTATGCCGTGAAGAAAAGGGCGACGAGGCCAAAGGTAAGACTTGGTCCCAACAAATACAAGGAAAGAGATATGAAGAGCCTGAGCCTACCTGCCCTCACTCAGGGCATCCACCCGCCCAGCCGCGGTCCTATCTGGGGCTGTTCCAGGGGAAGCAGGACGAGTATGTCCGCAGATACAGTTCCTTCCCTGACTCCCTCAAGGCAAAGATGAAGGACATGGCCAGGGACATGTTCTATTTTGGATATGACAATTACATGAAATATGCTTTTCCCAAGGATGAGCTGAATCCCATAGACTGTGAAGGCAGGGGACCAGACGTGCTGAACCCGTGAGTCACTGTCCTGGGACACCTGGGCTTTTCTAACTGTGTCTATTTGCATAGACTCAGTGAGTCAAATGTGCTCCGTGCACACACCTGCACAGCCCCTGTTTTACATGTAATGGTCTGTTTCTGCTGTCAGCTCTGTACCACGTGACCACACCCATTTCAAAACGTACATCAAAGCAGCTACTACAATACTCAAAATACACATTTCAACCTTTTCCTATCAATAGTGTCCTGTTAAAATCTGATAACTATGTGCTCTGCTGTGTTTCAGGTCAAACATCAACATCAATGATGTTTTGGGAAATTATTCACTGACACTGATAGACACCCTTGACACTCTTTTGGTAAGAGAATTCATGAGCCCACTATTCTATAGTCTATTTATGATAGTCAATATCAAAATATTCAAATAACAAAGTCAAATTTTTATACTGGTTACATAATTGTATACGTCCCCAGGTTCTTGGTAATGTAACAGAGTTTCATAAAGCTGTGAAGCTGGTGATAGATACTGTGTCATTTGACAAGGACTCAACTGTTCAAGTATTTGAAGCAAACATCAGGTACAAATAATAACATAATCCCGGACAAATATAGAGTAAATTACATACTTGGATTGATGCATATTTTATTTTCTTCAAGGATTTTAGGAAGTCTCATCTCAGCACACATCCTCCTGACCGACCCAATGCACCCGTTTGGAGAAGTGACCTTTGAGAACTATGACAATGAGCTGCTGCATTTGGCTCATGACCTGGCTGTTCGTCTGCTGCCAGCCTTTGAGAACACCAACACCGGAATTCCTTATCCCAGGGTGATTAGAAATGGCACATTAACATGCGGTTCAATTTAACTTTCTAACAAATAAAGAATCGTGTGGAATCATAACCAGCCATATTTTAGGATACAGTCTAGGCTGAAATCACTAAACCGTAAAACAAAAAAAACAAAGTTAATATTACAAAGAAAATTGCTTAAGCGGATAAATGAAGAAGATTGAACTGAAGCGTATTATTTATTTTTCCATGTTAACTGCAGGTGAATTTGAAGACCGGGGTCCCTCCTGACAGCATCAATGAGACCTGCACTGCTGGTGCTGGCTCTCTGTTGGTGGAGTTTGGGATTTTGAGTCGACTTATCGGAGATTCTACTTTTGAATGGGTCGCCAGACGAGCTGTCAGAGCTCTGTGGAAGCTACGAAGTAACGAAACTGGTTTGTTAGGTATAGTAAATCTTTACGAAGCCATCACAAACATCATACTTCCAGCATTGTGAAAAGTTTTGTCAGGTGCCTTCTGTTTTTTCACCATGGACCATTTCATCAGTTTGTTTTTCATGTGCGTTTTCTCCTCTTGCAGGAAATGTAGTGAACATTCAAACTGGCCAGTGGGTTGGGAAGCAGAGCGGCCTGGGAGCTGGGATTGACTCCTTTTATGAGTATTTACTGAAGTCGTACATCCTTTTTGGGGAGAAGGAGGACTTCAGGATGTTCCAGTCAGCTTATGAGAGCATTCAGAACCACCTGAGGAGAGGGTAAGTACAACTGTACAAGTAAATGATCTATATATCTTATATTGGGTAGACTTGTAAAGCAGCCCCTACGCAGACCTGCTGGTTAGGTGCACAAGCGCTGTCATGTGCTTTTTGTGCTGTTGTCACGTTGCCCAAACTCTCCAATCACTCGTCTGTCCTTCCTTGTTTATGTGCGCACAGCTTCTTCAACACCAATAAAATTGTCATGTAATGAAAATGAAACAAATGAAAACAAAGCTCCTCCTTGCCTCCTTTGACAAAAATGTTCTTCTGGGATTTTCTCAGGCGAGAGTTGTGTAATGAAGGAGAGGGAGACCCACCTCTGTACGTGAACGTGAACATGTTCAATGGTGAAATCATGAACACTTGGATTGACTCCCTCCAGGCCTATTTCCCTGGACTACAGGTCAGACTATTATATTCCAAATCTTTATCTCATGTAACATTATTCACATTTTCATTTCTACTTGATAGCATAGGTTTACAGAATAATGTGTTTTCTCTTACTGCTCAGTAGAAATATATGCTTGATTACTGCTACATGATCTGTTTTTTTGGCTGAAATAGTTTATGGTTTTATAAGCATGTTGATCAAAATAAATATGCTGGATCCCTGAGTTCCCAACAATCACTGCTACTGACAGGTTGTCAGAATGAAATCAGAGGACAACAAAGTGTACCTCATCAAAGCTTCTAGGACAGTTGTTCTTAACCTGGTTGGAGGTACCAAACTCCATCAGCTTTGTGTGCGGATTCACCAAAATAAAATGTGTTTTTTTTAAAGACATAGATATGTTTTTTACTGGTGCAGAAAATGAGCTGTGCAGGAACATCCCCTTGTTCAAAGAACAAAACAGACACAATGCATGAACTCACCACAAATTACATGTTGTGAGTTTACAATTACACATGATCAGCTGTTTTAATACACGGGCCTAAGCATCGAGGCATCTTGATAATTTGCGCGTGTCTGGACCTCTGCGGCGGAGGTTCTACCGAACCCCTGAGACAGACTCACCAAACCCCTGAGTTACGGTTAAGAACCACTGTTCTAGGACCTCTAAGGACATGTCTTTCACCTCTTGGATTAACATTGGTTATTGGACTGAGGACTCAATAGTTTTATTCCACTCTGCATATGTGCATCACATATATCACTATAACTACTCGGAACTGAAAGTTTCCTACAGTGAAAAAATTAATTTCTGGCAGCGCGATGGCTGAGTGGCTAGCATTTTCACTTCTCAGCAAAAAGGTTCTTGGTTCGAATCCTGGTCGGAATAGGGCCTTTCTGAGGAAGTAGGTTTCTTTTGGGCACTCCAGTTCCCCCTACCACCAAAAACATGTACAATAGTACAATAGTTCAGGGTGAATGAGTGTGTGGTTGTGAGTGCGACTGTACAATCCAGAGAGGTGTGTTCATTTACATGCACTGTCCCAACCAAATCATACTATGATACATAATGGATACATGGTCTTCTCATTCAATGAATTAACCAACCATTTTCTTGCTGTAGGTGTTGAATGGAGATGTGGATAATGCCATTTGCCTGCATGCCTTCTACTATTCCATCTGGAAGCGCTTTGGGGCCCTTCCAGAGCGGTACAACTGGCAGCTGCAGGCCCCTGATGTGCTCTTCTATCCTCTGAGGCCTGAGCTGGTGGAGTCCACTTACCTCCTCTATCAGGTATATCAAGAGTAACATTCTTTTGAAATGTTTTGAAATGAATTGGTTGTATTTGTCTGTTCTTAGTAGTGTCTCCTTTATAGCTTAGTGATTGAAGTAACATTGTTTTATCTGCATCAAAATACAACATGCCTTGCTTTATCTTGGCCTCAATAAACTTCTGCTTCTAGAATGTTTCTTAATGCAAATCATGTATGGATTACCATGATCAAAAAATCTATCTATACATCTTTACCAAACCACCTTTCCAACCAATAATGAATGTTCTTTACATGCTACAGTCACTCAAACATGACTCCTTAAGAAAACTGCTCCTTCTATGTTACTTGTATGTCATTCATCCCAACTTTCATGTCTTACAGGCGACCAAAAACCCTTTTTATTTGCATGTTGGTATGGATATTCTTCAGAGCCTTGAGAAAAATGCCAAAGTCAGGTATGTCTTTAAAAGTACTGAAACTCAAATTTAAATGAACAGTTTTAAGCAGACAGTATTTTTGCAGATGCGGATACGCTACCCTTCACCACGTTGTCGACAAATCTAAAGAGGATCGCATGGAGAGCTTCTTTCTCAGCGAGACGTGCAAATACCTATATCTGGTATACTATAAATATGATGATTTATTATATGGAAATATAATAAATATAATAACACTGTCATTCTAAACAATAACATTTCAAATGTCACTATAACAAGATTAAATGAGGAGGTATCAAAATGGAATGCTGTAATAGAGCAGAATCTGGAGCCAAATTCTCTGATAACAAATACCTAGTAACTGAAGGGCCAATCTGGAGCGCCGCTGGTTTGTCCGCTCTTATGCTATTTATTAAAAAAATCTAAGCGGTTATTGGTACAGAAGTCCCCTGATTGGTAAGATATTAGTGCTCATATCTGGAAGACTATATCAATTGAACCCACAGCGATTAAACTCTCCATGATCCTGAAACGGTTACAAATGTACAGAGGTGTTCAGCAGATTAAGATCATTATTAAGGTGAACATTTAAGATGTTATAATTCATCTTCTGTTTTAGATACCTTTTTTATTGTAAGTAATAGATAATTTGTAGATTTTTTAAAATATCTTATCATTTCTTCATCTTGAGCTTATATTTTGTCTTGAGAAATTAGCAACTTTGATAAAGTTTTTGTACGGTTGTAAATTATAAATGCTTTCCAGTTTTAGAATAGTCTTGATCAATATTCAATTCAATTCCATTTCTTTTTGTATAGCCCTGAATCGCAACGGTAGATATAAGACGTCACCTCGCCAACACAGATCAGAGAATCAAACCGTTCCAACACAAGAGATGCAATGATAATAATAAAAAAACACATAAGGAACTATTTGTCCGCATGGGGCAGCTAACCAATTTACAGAAATTTCTCCACTGTGAGACTAATAAAGGTTTATCTTATCTTATCTTATCCGTATATTGTGATAAAGTCCATAAAAGTCATCAAATGTTGAGTGTCCTGGATCTTCACCACTGTCCTTAGACCCTCCTGCATCAGAACGGAAAAAACTCTTAAAAACCAGTAGGAGAAAATATTAAAAACAAGTGAAAGAAGCCGTCCTTTCGTGCCATGTCTAAGGATTTGTGCTTTCAGCTGTTCGACGAGGACAACCCGCTGCACAAGTCTGACAACAAGTACATCTTCACCACAGAGGGTCATGTGGTGCCCATCGACCAGCGCTTCAGGGAGAGACAGTGGAGCGACCTGGGCCCCTGTGAAGACGGAACCCTCAGCGAGACCCGGTCTGCAGAATGGTTTCACAGCAACACTACCAACGTGAGTCTCCGAGCTGTGTTAGTCTTGTGCTTATTGAATTGTTGTAATGTAGCATTTGCACCAAGAGCCAAAGCAATTTTCTGTTTGCCTGTTACTCACGTGGCAATAAAAGGATTCTGATTTTATTGCATGTTCTTTCTATCTCAAATTTAGTGTATTATTTTTGTTACCAAAGTTATATTTTTCATCCATAGACGACATATTTTTAAATTCGTGGTTGCTCTGATTGAAAATAAGCAAAACTTTATAATATTGAGTAAAATTCTAACACGTCATGGCTCATCAGCTTTCAGTTCAGTTAAGAACAGTTATGAGAACCGCCACCTTCAGATTTTGCCCAAAAGAACCCTATTAGTTTTGTGAATGTTATAATGGCTTGATTTCAAATTAGATTTGTTATGAATGCTTTTACAACAAAGACATTTATATTTATTGAAATAGAAAATAAAACAATAGACCAGTCTAGCTGTGTATGTTTTATTCTGATCTATCATCTCTGAATGGTCATAATAACCTGTTCTGTCTTGTTCCTTCAGTGTAACAGGATCCCAGAGGAGCGTCGCTACGCACTGCCTCTGAAGAGCGTCTACATGCGGCAGATCGACCACATGGTGGGACTCTTTTAACTTCCTCAACAACCTCAGAAAAGAAACAGCGGAGCAGGTTCAGGAGAGGTTGTGTCTGATCCAAACATTCACTGTTTTTGGCAAAGCGGGTTTTGAAAGGTGCATTACTGTTACTCTTCTCCATTGACATGTAGTTAATGCAAGATAGAAAATAATACTATAAAGAAGAGAATCAGACAAAAATTGATATCTTCATATGGACTAAATACACACTTACTCCAATGTTGAAATATTCAGACAGTATGTCAGTCCAACAAAAAGCCTCAGATTCAAGTATCAGACGAATGTGAACAACACACAAACCATTTTTATCATTCTTTATTCTTTTGCTAATACATCTTCATAACTACATTTATAAATTATGATATCCTTGAAGACTTGTTGGTGGATCGCCTCATCACAAAAGTTTCATAATGCACCTTTTAAACCTCTGATAAGAGCATAAATACTTCTCCAAACAGCAGCCAGGCCATAGGAATATCTGGGAAACACTTCAGTTTTGAAGTATGTTTGAGTGTTTCATTTTTCTGCTGCTCAAAAAGTGAATGAGTGACACATTTTTACTAAAAATGTTTACTAAAAATGTGTGAATGTATTATTATTGAACAATGGGAACAGTTTAATTCAGCCATTTGTAACAAACACAGAGTGAACATGTGCCTAGGGCCTCTTCAGCATTGTCATTTACACCAATTGTACCTTTGACATTTTATACTGAATAATTGTGATAATATGAGTTCAGAAATTAAAATAGTCATTTGGTTTTGGTCTTATCACTTTCTACTTCTCACCTTGAGCCAGTTGATTATTTTATAATTCAGAACAAAATATAGTTCAGCAGAGTGATGTCATATCATTCTTTCTTCTATGAGATGAAACCAGTGATTAGGCGATACAAAATATCGTTCAAACTTACCGGCTACTGGTCGTAACTCCAGAAAACAAAATCACAAATCTGACAGGAATATACAAGTGCAGTCCCACAAAGGGTCACTAGACCACTGTTTGAGAACCATGTTCTTTTTATATGAAAAAGGGCTAAGAACACTGGACATGGCCAGAACCCCATTCCACAAACCAGGTTGTATTTTTCTGTCTCTCCAGTAGATATTTTTATTTCATCTTGACCTTCTCAGCTTCTTCCCAAATATGCATATGCCAAGAAATTGTAATATTATGAGACGTTTTGAGCTGACTGATCTGACCGATCTGGGGAGATTTTCATCTCAACTTTCGATTTGATGTTTTACTTGATATTCCATAACGCACACAGGCAGGGAGCAAACGGAACTAATGCAATTGAATATAAACGTTGTGACTGGCAAATGACTCCCCTTCAGCGCCTTGCTCTGCTATTGGCACATAGTTTGTGTATCTCGATTATGATGCACATGTCGATAATTCAGATTGATTGCTATGCATATGAAAAAGCCATTGCTTACAATAATTCAAATTCAGATCAATTTTACCCAAAGCCAAAAAAAATCCTCCAGCTTGTTTTTTCCAGAAAAGTGCTCAAGTGAACAACCAAAGGCACTTTCTGTTCTCAAAATATTGTAATTTGTTGCTGCTGCTCTACGACAGAACCATGCATCTATGTGTGACTATTTTCTGTATTTTAAAGTGCCTTCAAACTTGTTTTGTTAAAGCCATTGATGTTGCACACTGCGTCATTCCATATATTGTCTTATGTTATGTGTGACAGTTTTACAAAGATTCATTAAAAAGACAAAGAAACACAATGAGAATTCTTCGGTAGATAATTTTACTTTTGAGTCTGTTATCAAACTTTATGTTCAGTTTTGCACATTTGTTTTTGTGTGGGTAAACTCAGGGCTGACACAAAACAGTCTTTTTATTGCCAAAATCACTAGAGGAGTGACTTGAAGTACTGTGAATGTCCCAAATGGTTCTTAACAAAATGTTACTTTCTGTCTGCATTCGTTCCTATAATTCATTCTTGGTTTTAATTTTGCTTTGGAAAAACTGCTATTGTCTTAAGCCTTGATTTTAAAATTTCTCAGGTTTTCTTAAATCTGTGTATCATAATTGAAATAGGGCTAACATTTTGAATAATAAAACAAATTGTGAACGTGACATTTGTGGTTGTGTTGCCTTTTATTCCAACAACAACAAAATACTATACAAGCTTTATGGTAAGACTTATAGGTACATCATTTAGAGAATCATTCAAAACATTGTTCCAAGATACTTTTTAAATTCTTATTGTATGAAGCATTTGATAAACACAACATAACAATGAACTAGATTGTGTATCTTCTTACACACTGTACAGAAGCATTACTAATCATATTTACACATGCATTCTGACTCTGGGTGAAGTGCAATTGCAGGTGGTGGGAACATCTTAATTAACATAGATTTACTCACATTTTCTTGAATTTAATCTTATGTTAGAAAAAATATAGATAATTTGGTCTCTACTACAAAACCACATTTTCCTCAAATACTGGTGTGGTTATTTTTTTTCGACGACCATTGGAGCTTTTGAGTCGGTGGGTCCACAACCTGCAAAAAACATGGTCGAGAGTTACTACATCAAAGAGGACTTTTTAGACAGTTTTAAAAGGGGAGAACAAAAAAACTGATAAACGACAGTTGTAGCTGGTCACAACATATGTTTTATTTGATCCTCCTGTTGACTTGTGATGTCAAAGCATTCTGGAAAATGTATTTTGACAATAACATTACTACTACTGATGGAGTCAAAATAATAAGTCCACAAACTCTGTTCTGACTATAGCCCCTATCACTTAAAAACAAGTCCTGTGTCTTTCCCGGCATTTCCTTTTATTGGCTCACTGCTGTTCACATAAACACTGGGAAGCGGGAATGTGTACATTATATCAGTTCTGGAGAGCAACAAATGTAGATAGAGCCGTATCCAAATCCATTCCTCCAGAGGGTGCTTTAACACATTCATTGGCTAAATAGCTGTATGGGCCTAAGGTTATTAAAAAATGGAAAAAAAAGTGTAAGCTTATTGCCCAGTAAGTACGGTAATGAAATATATTAATAAAAAAACAAACAATTATTATTAGCATAACATTGTTTGTTCATTGTTATTACTATTTTTAGTTTATACATGAATATTTTAATCTCCACCTGCTTCTACCTGCTCCCTTTTTGGACATGTGAGACAATATGGTTCACATGTTTCAACACAAACAAATATATTTTTAATTAGTTTGCACCATATATAAAGAAATTCCTAGTTTGTGTCTGATAAACTAAATGAAATAAAAAAAGGTTGATGGATGTTTACATAAATATGAATAGGTTGAATGTTCCATCGTAGCAGTATAAATCAGACCAAAGCACAAAACCCTCTGCTTCGTCAGTACCTGTACTTTCCGCAGTGTGGGGGCGATTTAGAAAAGCCCACAGTCCTTGAGGTTTTCTTTGATGATGATGTCAGTGACGGCGTCGAACACAAACTTGACGTTCTCGGTGTCAGTGGCGCAGGTCATGTGGGAGTAGATTTCTTTGATGTCACGCCGCAGGTTCAGGTCCAGGAACTGCATTTTAATGTAGATACCAGCGTCTTCATATGTGTTAGGACCTGAACACAGCAGCACAACAGACTTAAAACATTGTCATTTCAGTAAAGAAGACATAGGATGCAAATATGTTGAGCTTTTGAGCATATTACAGTTTTCAGTCATTTTTTTGTGACTGTTTAACAATTTTGGGGAAAATAAAAGTTTGTCTTGAGTTTGCATTTGTCAAACATATTTAGATATTAAACTGATGATACACGCTTTGATTTCGAAGGCTGTATTAACGTCTCTCTGAATTACCACATTTACACGGCTTGAATTCAGTTGCTGGTGTTATTGTTAGATACAGGTGAGTAGCATTTGCCTATTTTGTATTGCCAATTTAATTAATGATATCCTGCACAGACTATATTTTTAACCTTTAACATGTTTGCACACTCCTGTCTTTTGCACAATCTGAGTGATTCTATCTGTGCCAAATGTGACACGTACATTTCTCCAGTGTGAGTCTTTCTTATCATATCTTGTCTAAGCGCATGAATGAACAGCCAGATCAGATTACACTTTTTTCCGTTTCTATTTAACAAGAACGAGCTGTTAAATTTGCTTTTATATTATAACATGCCATAGGTGTCCATAACAACCTTATTCATCATAATAATTGAAAATCATTTTGGGGGCCACTGAAAAGGATCACACCGAGCCACATGTTTGACATTTCCTCAGTGCATCTCTCCTCTGGGGTTAATGTGTATTTTCAAACTGTGTGAAAACCAGACTATTGCATGTATTATGAGTATAGTCAATGCTGGTGTGGTTTGCTCACCGTCGTACTCGGGGAAGCACATGCTGAGGTGAGACTTCTTGATCTTCTCTGTAAACACATCCTTCTTGTTGAGGAAGAGCACAATGGAGGTGGCGGCGAAGTAGCGGTGGTTACAGATGCTGTTGAACAAGTGCAGGCTCTCGTGCATTCGGTTCTGAGACACAGCACGTCCAAGTGTTAACCATGTTGGGTTCAAGTTAGACCTTTGCTTAACTATAGAAGATTGAAAATAAGTTTGTACTTTTGTGTGTATTTACTGCATTTTATAATCCAGGACACTTTTATGGACATTGATCGTCTTATGGACCAATGGCTCAATGCATTTATTGAGTTTGAACTGTTTGATTCTCTAATCTTTGAATCAATGGTTTAGTAAAGTCTTCGGAGATAACCACTGTTGTGATTTAGGGCTATGAAAAAATAGGTTGAATTGAAAAAATGCAGAAAATCTCTAATTAGGACATGAATATTGTATTTTTTTCTGATATTTATACATACTTTTATGCTTTTTAAATAGATATTACAGTCAGAACACGCCATACTCCAGCTTGTTTCATGTTAGTACTTTATCATTACATTTATTTCGACAAAACATTTATTTTTGCACTAAAGACACCTGCACCTTTAGGTAAACTGTATCGTTATGACCCATG